TTCTGCCGCTGCCCCGTAGTAATAGTAATGCGGGGAGTAGTAGTAGTGGTAGTGGCGGCGGCGGCGGCGGCGGTGGTGGTGGTGGTATCAAGCGCGCATGCTGTGCGAAGGAGGCGGCGAGGTTTTTGTGGGGTGTTGGGAGTGGTCCTGGGGTTGGGGTTGGAGTTGTGGGGGGTGAGGGTGGGGAGATTGTGGATTGAGTGGTTTTTTTTATGGGGTAGGGGGAGAAGAGGAAGGAAGATAGGAGGGAAGGGAGTGAGGGGTGGGATGGATGATGGATGTGGTTATTGTGGGGTTTTTTTTTTTTTTGTAGTTTGTAGTTTTGTAGCAAGTAGGGGATGGTTGTTGTTTAGTTTTTAGTTGTAAATCCAATACAAATTATTTAAATCCCGACTCAGTGGGTTTTTTTTTTTTTTCTTTTCCTTTTCTCCAGTAAGATTATCCAGTATTCAGAAGTGAAACGATAATAGTAATAAAAATAAAAATTTGATATGTCAAATAGTCAAACATGATTTGTCATGTCAGTGTTGTTAATGAATGAATAGATAGATAGATAGATAGAACAGAAGTAACTAATCTTTCCCCCATCCTCTCTATCATAACTAAAAAAGTCCTAAAGTTCTACTTTTCTCTCTGTACTGTAACTACTGTATTGTTTTCCTTTTGCTTTTGCTCTTCATCATGAAGCATTGTAATGTAGCTGACATGTTATTGGGGGTTTGGAAGGGAATGGAGATAACTAGTTAATGGATTGATTATTCGTTTGGCTAACTAGTTAGTTAGTTAGTTAATACTCTGCGGAGTAACCTACCTACCTACCATATACGACTATTTTTAACCGGAGGAGGGAGGAGGGCATATGGCTGGTTGGTTGGTTACGGTTTTTGGGCGTTTCAAACTCCGCTCTGCTCTGCTTTATTATATTATAATATGTATTAGCTTGCTGCGGAATTCGCGGGGGTTGCTGTCACTTCGAGGTGTTGTGTTTTTTTTTTTTTTTTTTTTTTTTTTTTTTTTTTTTTTTGTGTTTTTTGCATGGAGTATTTCTGATTGGTTCTTTGTAGCGCCCCTGTAAGGAGCTGAGAAGATGATAGGGATATAACCACCATATGGCCTGATGCCAAGCCTGAATTATTTTTGGGAAGAACAGTTATCCGAACCTTATTTTTACACGACGCTTATTCATTGGCTGCAATAGCCGACCATATCTTATCTGATCAATCTTATCGACTCATCCCCCCGTTCCACCCCCGCAACTTCCCAGTTCCCACCCAAGCAAGCAAGTCAAGTTTTGATTCTTTGATTGTTGATAGATCGCTGTGATCACATGGTCTTTGTAAAACATTATAGCTAGAGAAGCTCTGCTTTTCTTTGAACAGTGGAGCCGTCACTCAACATTCAGAGTCTGCGTTTGGATCCGCGTGACTTCCCCGCTCTTTGCATTAAGTCTTCAAGGGTGCACGCTCTGGCTGTTCAAGGGCAAAAAGTAGTCATCGCCATCAATATACGAAAAAAACACACCGATCTACGAACTAACCATGTGGTCGTTGAGCATCTTCGCTCTCGCCGAGCTCCTCCTCTTCTCCTCCCTCGTCGCAGCACTTCCGCCATACATGCGGTTCACCTCCATGGACAGAGCAGCACAAGTCCCAATCACCCCCAACGAGAAAGCAGAGCTTCCAAACTTTCAAGAAACAACAGCGAATTTCCCACATCCAGCCGACCTCGATGACTTCGATGACCTCGACGACGACGACGACGACGATGATGACCCCATCCACAAGCCGGAATATACCTTCCCGAGCTGGGACACGACCCACCTCCACGCCCGTCGTCTCCTTGCCCTTTCAACCACCGGTGTCCTATCAACCGTCTACCCAACTAGCTCATCCGTGCACAAGACGTCGCTGGAAGGAGTCCCCATCGGCCTCCCAGATTACATTGCGGATTGCGCAAACGACCCATCGAGCGAACTGACCGATCTGCTCGGGCCCGGAAACCCGCTGATCCTCGCGTTGAATATCGGCACCACGTTCCGCAATACGAAGGCTGGCTCCAATATTTCTCTATCTATCGACTGGTGGCATCATCGGCAGGCTCAGGCTGCCGGGGAAAATGGTGTCTTTGGTGGCGGTGGTGGCGGTGGTGGCGGTGGTGTTGGGCATGATGCTCTTCGAACCAGGGCTGAGCTGCCCCGTTTGTCGCTCCTGGGCTCCCTTGTTCCACTGAAGAATCTGCCGGATAACACTCGCATAGCTGCTGAGAAGTGTTTCCTTGCTGCCCACCCTGACGCTGAGTGGTGGTTACCAGGCCACGATGACACTGCGCATAGTGGCTATTGGGCGAAGTTGGTTGTGGAAGAGGCGTTCTGGGTTGGTGGGTTCGGTGACAGGGCTAGGATTGGGTGGTTGGTTCCTGATATCTGGAGGTCGGTGAGGCGGGATGGGGTGAATGGAAAACAAGGGTGGAGTGATGTTAGATTGCCTGGGGAGTAAATGGGGGAATGGCTATATTTTTAGTCGATCTGCCAGAACTGGCTCTAGGGCATTGTCGATCTTTTGGGAAACGAGACAAACAATTCGGATAAATAGTTTACTGATGTATTAGATAACTACAGAATAACCGTTGAGGTAGTCCACTGAGACAACTGTCGTGTTCCCGAAACGCCAGATGCCCATACAAATAGACATATACCAAAAATGAGGCCGTTTAAATAATTCAATTCATATCATGTTCGCTATCATCTCCCGACTCGTAGTCATTATTAACTTTACCCCCAGTACCATCTGTATCGTCTTCGCTGGACTCACCCTCGCGCGTGCGATGGGATAAGTGAGCGCTTTCCTCGCCGCTACTGCCATCAGAGTGTGAGTATTCGGCGGATGCTGCACGGCTAATAGAAGCAGGAGACTCATAAATTCCAGGTGAAGATGGTAGCAGCAAGATTGGCGAGGGATCAGATACTATGATTTTGGGATCGGGTGGGGGGGTTTGTACCAGTTGTCGGCCACGAAGATTAGTATTGTTAGTTGGAGCAGCGTAGCGGTAATCTTGGCCGTCGTGGAGGTGGGTTGGCCGCTGTCTGCTTTCCTCACGCTCTCTGATTGGCTTATCAGATCCCGTTTGTGTATTATTGCTCGTGGCCCAGGAACGATCGGGTGGGGCTGGAGTGTACCCATGTGAGGGCGCTGGGTATTCATCATCAGAGTCGACAGGAGCGGGGTCAGGAGCAGGAGCAGGAGCACGAGCAAAATCTACCTTTGCTTTGCTGGGGTTTGTTGGGACGATAGGTGGCTGCCGGGGGGGAAGCTCGTTGCCCTGATATGTTGTCAACCGGTTCAATGTCGACAAAACGAGGGAAGTTTCGTCTGAGGCTTTTGCCTCCTGCCTTTGCTTCTGCTTCTCCAGGTTCTTCTTTAAGATTCGTTCATGAGCATCGTTGTACAGGAGCCGCACTTGTCGCCGGGATGGTGTTGAATCCCGCCTTCGGGAACGAACATAGCTACGGCCACTCTCCCATGCGTCGTCATTGTGCGCATTCTTGTCGTCCGCAAAGCGACCAGTGTTCCTGATCCGTCGCCACTCTGACTCATGTGGAAAAGCTGGTGGTTCCCTCTCGTAGAAGCGTTCACCTATGCTCTTTCCCGTAGGAGGCTTGCGGAGCTCGTCCTTAATCGAGGTTGTTGTTCAAACATATCCTCTGTCCTCGATCTCGGATGGATCTCAGACGATCTTCTATATAGCTCAGCGTGGTCAGTAAACCTGTCGCGAGGTCTCATTTCATCGTTCCTTTGCCGTTCTATCCTTCGTCTATTGCCATAAAGAAAAGAGTCGTCGCTATCGCTTAGGTCATCCTGAAACACGATCCTATGTCGTGATTTTGAACTGCGATGCCCTCTTTGAGGTAAATGACTGTCTCTGGCTGGAGGAATATCAGAGCTCTCCGAACCATGTTTCCGGTTCTCGGGCAAGTGGTCCTTGGCTCGACTTTCAGCACTTCGATAAGGTGGGACAGGTAGAAGTTCTTTGTCAGGTTCGTCTATTGGCGGCACTGAAACTTCTTCATCTTCATCTCGACCTGGCACTTGCACTAGTCCGTCAGAACTCGACTGTCCCATATTTTTCCGCGTCGCAAGGACTCGCAGTCCAACATCTTCTTCATTTCGGGCAAATATGCCTGTTCTGATGACCCTTTTGATTGGCTCTAAGTGCAAGACCGTCCATTTCTCCTGGTCCGTCAGAGGTTTGTTCTTTTCGTGATAGAAATTCTGGAATGTAGTACGGTGGTTGGCAGGGAGCCGTGAATACTGGTTCCAAAACTGTTGGGAGTCCTGTTTGCTCCAATTTTCCGAGGGATTTTCTTTGAACTCGCACCACAAACCGGAGCTTGATTCAAAAACCCACGATTCGAACAAGACGGAGTCGTCCCAAGCACCTGAAATTAGAGCAGAGGGTGGTGAACCACTAGCATATGGAACGCGTTTGCTACGTTTCCACAACATCCTAAAAAGGGTAATTAATTAGAATAATAAGTTCAAAAAGTAGGAATAGAAAAAAGGGTTAGTATATAAATAAAGTATGTAAATTAACGTATAAAATGAATAGTTGAGATCTTACCAGCGAGGTTTTCGGTTTGACTTATTGCTCCCAAGCTTGCTATTGCTAGTAGGGTTCCGGTCTGATGAATGATCAATAGTCGTTAAATCATGCCCCAGTGTACGCAAGGCGATCACAGACTGGGTATCGTCGTTGACGTCAACATGTATATTGTCCAGAATTGATTTCATTTGGGTTGATGAGAAGTTGAGCCGCTCTAGTTCGACGCGCAGAGCCTCTTTGGTGGCTGAATTCCGAGATTCTCGTTCCGCTATCTGTTGTTTAAGGGCTTCCTTGTATTTTGCAACACCTAGAGTTTCAATTGCTTTGCGCTCTTTCTCCTCAGCTTCCCTCTTTGCGTCTTCCCGCACACGGAGCAGAGCGAGTTGCTCTTCTTGTCTTTTTCTTTCCCACGCAATTGCTTGCTCCTCCTTGAAATCCATAAATTCGGTTAGTATCCGCTCATCTTCAACATCCTCAGTGGATGAAGCCATTGATGCACCACGATATGGAGACTCTCGGTCGCCTTTGCGGTCGGCTTTAATTGCCCTTTGTCTGGCTTTGCTGGCCTTCATCGCTGCCCACTTGCGCGTTTTCTCCACGTTTACGATTTCTGCACAATAAAACATCTTGTCGGCCTCGGTAGATCTGTACAAGGTTAGCAGGCGTCTATCTCTCTATGCAAAATTGTGAATTAAGTGAAGGCGAATGCTTACGCTGAAATAGCCATCACCGAAGTAAAAAGTAGAGTTAGATCTGATTTTATTCTCTGTAGCTCTGCCCTTGGAACCTCAAGTCTAAACTTGATAAACGGCCATTTAAATTTCGTAAAATAAGATATATCGATTTCCTCTTTCTGCACCAGAGTGTGCGAAGGCGTATATCCTCCTTTGGCTAAAATCGTGCGCAACTCCCTAAGTACCTGTGCGCATTCATCAGAAGCCCGGACCGCACTCTGGATACCCTCTGAGCTGAGTGCGTTTGTTATAGGGTTCGTCTCGACAAGTTTCCCGATATCAAGTAGCCGTTCGCTAGTTGTCCTTATTTCATTCCCAACGCGCCTAATACGGCTCGATGCGTCCTTAACTTCCTCGATGTATTCGATTAAAACTTTCGCTAAGGCAAACCCGACTTGAGCAACGGTGATAATGGCAGACACTCCTTCAATGCCCGCCATGGCACCAGGAGCGGAAGACCAACACGTCTTCTGGAGGCTAGGGAAGCTCTGCCAATACTGTTATTGGGTGCAAAACGAAAGGGCTTAAATATTTGCCATGGCCGCCCGTTTCTCCAAATATCCAAGGAGAAAAATGAAGTAGAACCTCAGTTTACGCTGGCGACTGGCATATTCGTGGCGCCCACCAGCATTCCCTGTGATAGTGTCGCAAGGCTCGAGGGGGGAATCAGCCTCGCGATCTGCACTATAATTAGCCCAACGCTAGACCCCCTTTGAAGGCTGAGGTGCGAGCGCTGAAGAATTAATCGCTTGGGAAACATGATTACTGTCACGAAGCAATGGTATCTATACGGATTCCATGTGCGAAAATTGAGAAAAGATGTTGACGGGCCAAGAAGGTTGTGCTTAACACGACTTGATTAATGTTCAATGGTGTTACAATATTTGCTGAATCTCACCCGTCGTCGCGAAAAGCTGATGGCGGTTTTAACATTTCTCGACTAATCACAACAGAACCCCTGCCATCCCCAACTCCCGCATCGCCTGTGCCGTCCACTCCTGACATCTTCGAATTGGCTCGTCTGGATACAGCCTCCGCGGCCCATCAAATTGCTTCTTCGGTGGTTGAATGCCCAAACAGATGTCCTTAAACGGTTTCTCGTAATTTCCCTGCACAGTACCAAGGAGTGTTTTACTATGGAAAGAGGGTTGTTGCTCAGGTGGTTCGCCTGGCTTGTCTTCGAAGATCATGCCATTCTGTATATTGCCAGTAACTTGGTAAACATGGCCGGAGCCGGTGGTAGGGTTTGTTTCCACAAAAAGCGCATGGTGGTCTCGTGGCATGCCTGTGGACTTGATGAGGTAGACGTTGTAAGGCATTTGGAGTTGATTAGTGGTCGTGATTCGAGAATGCGTTGCCCTCTTTTGAAATGCTATAAAGGTAAATTCACCGTTCGTCGTGCTTGATAGCAAGAATCTTTAGGATAATTCGAAGTTGGATCGTTGCAACCAATCCGTCCAACATACGGGCTCACGTGATAAAGAAGCACAACCTTGGAAGGCATCCCTTTTATTCTCCTATTTCAGTCAAAGACTATGCGGAAGACCCTCGCATCTTAGTCTGAGAGCAGAATTTATTTCCAATCATTCATCTGATTCTCCTTACTGAGATGCAGATCTCAGTCTTTACTAATTATATAATTTTGTATGTACATCATTGATCAGAGAAAATTCTTCACTACTCTACTATTAATTTAAGATCTATCTTTGATATCTCTAAACTAGACTGCTCCGAGAAAATTATCAAAATATGATTAAATCTGATTAAATCTGAATAAAGATGAAGACAATCTTTATATACTAGAACTTAATATCATTCTGTTTATTAATTATATATATATAGTGAAAATCATTTTCTTCTAATCTATTGATTAGCTCTCTGCAGTCAAGAGCTGGCCTCATATTGTGAATGTAATCAATAGATCATAGTAAAACCATCTTGTGATGAAGAGAGGATTCAAATCTGCAATCCTGGTGTCTCAGAAAGGTCATCCATCCCCCATAGCCAGTTCCTACTTACCATGGGCCTTCCATGGACAGCACCTTTACTACTACACTATCCACCCCACCCATTCATTCGGGTGAAAGGCTGCCCTTTAGCCCATAACATATAACCACGTAAGGTTGACGATTTGGGTCACAATAGTCTGAGCATTTCCGGCTAGACTTTTATAAGTACGAGCAAATATGTCAAGACTCGGAATTGAGTGCTATAGCTTCTTTCAGAACCTTCCTGACGCTTGCTGATGCACGCCCAACGTCTCCGCCTTCTTGCCTTGCTAGACTTACTCCACGTTCAACAGCGGGTAGGAATCTTTCAGAGAAAACCCTGAACCTATCTTCCCTGGTTTCATACATCTCGCCCTCCTCATTTTTTGGCTGCCCGAATAAATTGAGGTAGGCAAACGGGGCAGACTTGGTCGGCAAAATATGATGGCTTGTCTGAGTAAGTGGGAAGTTCCACTCCTTGTCCTCAATTAAATCACTCTCATCAAGCTCAGGATGCTCCTCGGTAGCGCCGATACCTGATCTTAAAAATTCCGCCAAAGTTTGCAGTGTTCGAACCATAGGTTTGCCATCACTACCGGCTTTTCCAAATGAGGCTCTATTCGACGACCACTTTGCTGATTCTTTCGTATGCCACCCTAAAATAGACAGGAAGCAATTGAGTGTTTTTATCCACCCACCGGGTGAAGAGACCACCTCATGCCCTGCAGTAGTTACCAACCATGAAATGATTTCCACAGAAGATAGTCGTATATCAGCAGCGAGGTGCGTCATGCCCGCGCGGACGTAGGGCAGTAGTTGGGAGACATGTCCCTCCATATCTGGCGCAGGGAGCGATTTTAGAAGCTTAAGAAGCTGATTACGGACCGCATTGCTACCGTCCAGAATCAAGGAAACAAGGGACGGTAATATGACACTGACTGGCTGGGGTAAGGGGGAATTGATCGGACGCGAAACAATGGCTGTCGTCAAGTAGGAAAGCGAGTCCTTGCGCTGGGAATCCGATTTCGAATTTAAAAGAGACAAATAGTGAGTGAACTGTGACGATGCCGATCGTGCTGATGTTGTAAGGGATTGTTGGTTTAGAACGATAGCTGTAAAATCTTAATTAATAACGTTACAATGAAGAGAAGATGTATGTTTACATATGCAGGGGGTGAAAACTCCAGAGGACCATATTTCACCCTGTAAGAGTTGGAGCAAAATTACCTTGGGACCGGAAGCTGGTGTCTGTAAAATTTGAAGGCTTCGGCTTAGTTTTCCCAACTTTCAGTTTCGTTTTCTATTTGGATACAAGTTAGCAATCCTGTACGGTGCATAGGCTAATTTGATATATGGAGTTTTAATACCTGGAAGTCCTTTTTCTTTTCATTCTTTTTTTTCTGGCTGGAACCCATAGTGAGGTTCTGGCGATATGATGCTTATTTTAGGCTATAATCAATCATAAATCCCTCCCCGCATCCGCCAAAAGATAAGATGGCAAACAGCTTTATTCTCGTGAAAACTGCTTGAAATACTGCAAAATGTAAGAGTAGAGACAAATATCATCCAAGGCAGGCTAAGATCTTCAAATGTTTGAAAGTCATTGAATCAATTCACTGTTCACAATGAAGCAGTCACAAGCGCTAGTGATTTAAGTAGCGTGTTTTCCTCGTTAACAACTGTGGTGGATTTATTTTCGGCTCAAGAAATTTTGAATTTGATATTGGAGGCTGAGATAGCCAAAGAGGTAAAAGTTAGCTAGCTACTAAGTTATATCTCGGTTCCTCGGCAAAATGTAAGTCCGGTCTGCTAGTTAACTCCGTTGTCGCAGCCATTTGCTTAGATCTCCGCAAAACAACTCCGCAAAACATCGCATTTCGTGCATCTGGAATCTCTTACATTTATTTACCTGTTAAACCTCACCTATATTAGTATATTAAGATAATTTAAAGAAATTTAAAAAGCATCTCTCCCGCTCAAAATCGACTTCTTACTTGTTTTGTTCATTCGTTGCCGGACCTCACCCTTCAACCTAACATATCAACACCCCTCCCTCCGTCGGAATAGTCCAGATGGCAGCAGTGAGTAACTGTCTCAAACCAACCAATTAAAACGAATTATATCGAACTAACAAAAAGCCAATGTATACAGCCCCCTCAACTTTCCCGACAGTTTTCTGCCCATCTATCAAACCTCACATCCCGCCCCGGTGTCCAATCTACCCTCATCTTATCACGGAAAGATGGATCTATAATACGCACAACTGGTCTCCTTGCCACACGCTCGAACCCCTCCCCCACGCGTCAAACCCCAACTCCAACACCGGCGTCCATATCCGATCCCATTCCTCCCGCCGCCTCCCCAACTCCAGACCAGCAAGCAACATATCCAGACCCGACAAACACGAGCATAGACGATAGAGGAGCGAATACCGCTCAACAGCAAGCACAAGAACAACAACCACCAGCCGCTCCGTATGAGCCCAGCCAAGCAGAAACATTAGCCGCACACATATTTGCATTTGTATCCTCTGCTTCGTCTCTGAGCACGTCATTATCGAAGCCACCGCCATCATCAACATCAAATGGCGGAAACAGCGGCGGTAGCAGTAATGAGTCGGATTATGGTGGATCTGGCATGACTGGTGGGGCCGCTGCGGCGACTAGCAACGGTCATGCAAGGAATGATAGCGCGGATAGCGAGGGACATGAGCGTGAAGAGGATGACGAGCTGAAACTGCTCCGGTTGCGGACGAAAATTCATGAGATTATAATTATTCCGGATCGGAAGTTTTTGCTATGTGTTGTGCATGATCTTTCTACTGCTACTGGGGGCTCTGCTGCTGGTGGTGGGAGCAAGGGAGGGGGGTTTAGTAGGTAAGAACCATTTCATGGGTGGGTGGAAGGGGGATGGATCTGGATTTGGGGAGGTTGGGATATGGGATATGATATGGATGAGATATCGCAAGGGGCAAATCTATCTTTTTTCTTCCTGACAGGCAGCGAGGCGCGAGACATAATGACACAGTTTTGTTTTGAACTTTTGATACCCCGGTTGGCAAACCCTTTGAAGGTATGAATTACATGTATCCAGCGTCACCCTTTACATGATATACAATTTAATATAAATGGGAAAGATCCAGCATTCACCTATTGGCTTCACCTCTCCTAGTTAAGGTCACGTACTAAGACTAGGTTATGTGAGACCGTACTCTTCGGCACTGGTTTCTAGGGGATAGACTTGGCGGATATGCCGAACGGGGAGATGATACCTAGATATTTATGCATAGGGGAGAGAAAATGTGGTTCAACGTGGTCAAAGTTGCGAACGTATAATCATACATTCATGATAATCTCCGGAAGCACGCATTTCATCCTCGCTCTAACTCATTTAGCAGGCAAATAAGGACACCTTCCCACAGCTGACATTCTGAAACCTGTATCTCGTGTGGACTATGAGCATTACAAAGACCAGACTTCTCCCATGTTCCTTTCGAAAGATCGAATACTTGCAGCAACGTTAAACAGTAAGGAGTACGCCAGCGAGCACGCGGCTCTCATGACAACGACACACAAAGACGCTCCCCTGCCTCCTAGATATGAAACATCCTACGCCTACCCCTCGCGTAATCCTTCGTAAGGTTCTTGGGCGCAATTATTTCTTATTGCCTACGTCGCGAAACAAAACAAGAAGCAGAACCCGTCAGCAGCTCGTCCCCATTAGCAGAAGTCCATCCAGGACTTTACAAAATATTGAGACTTACCACCCCCGTCAAGTGTTTCCGAGGCGGTTTCCGATGCCTTGGACGCTGCATCCTTGGCTGACTCTGAAGCTGATCCGGCACTCTGTTTTGCGGTCTCAACGCCCTGCTGCACCGACTCGGAAAGCTTCTGGGCAGTAGTCTTAGAGTCTCCTGTATTTAAGACAGGTACTGTTAATCTATGTCTGTAGCTCTGAGAGGAGGATGTTTTGATTTGTGAACGGAGCTGCTTGTCTACGACCTAGGTAAAACTGGGTATGAAGCGGGGCGGAAGAGCTGGGCGGGGGAGCTGGGAGTGTATTTGACGCACCTGGTTGGGTGGCTCCCTTCATCTTATCATCAATATCGCCGGAGCCCTGAGATCCTGGGTCTGCCATGGTGTGTTGGCTGAGATAGTTTTGTGACCGTGTGGCGGTGATCCGCTCGGGAGATATGTATTAAGTATTTATTATGGATGTTACTATTGGAGTATACGATGGTGGTGGGAAAAGGAGCAGTAGGTAGTTGCGTTGTAAGAAACATGGGGAGTGGGAAATCTTGGGATGCTCCAGGGTTCATCTCTAGTTAATAAATAAGACAAGTGACGGTACAGTTATGTCATCCCGCCCGCACCTTCAGCAGTCAGCGGGTGCGCGACACGGGTACCCATCCCAATCATTATCATTACCCCTGATACATGACTATCAACGCGAGGCCTGATCCAATTCGCTATGCATCTCTTGCTTGTATAGTCGAATATTGCTGGAGGGTTGAAGTGTGAAACTGAACATTCTGTTTAAAAAAGAGTAGGAAAGAGATACACATAACAGTTACGGTTAAACCAGTAATTGCGTACCAAATACGCCTAGGAAAATTACCAAATAGCTCCCAAACCCAACGCTAGGCAAAGAAATAAAATTCAAGGTAGGAAGAAGAAAGAATAGAAGGAAAGCGAAATAGCCACTTAGTAGGGTTGAATTAGCTTTCCTCTATATCCGCCCCACCACCTGCATAATCAGGTCTTTCTGCAGATTCATACTCCGCAATGAGATCCATAACCACAGCCCTAGCCTCATCAAACTCCCCCAGTCCATCCGCAAAGGGGGCTTCCTTCTTATATTGCTCCAAGAACGCATTTCGCTTCCGCAGCCGATCATACTGGCTAACAATTCTCTTGAAGAGGGTTGCCACAGAGGTGTGATTTGCTAGCATTAGCCCGCTCACCCTATGCGTGTTTGGCAGATACGGAGAACGTTTGGGAACAGCTACGTGGATGCTAGCCGGGCCCCACGGGATGAATGTGGCTAGGCGACGTTCACGGATCCTGAGAATCGATTTATCAACATCCGTTTGAGCTGCTTCACCCTGGATGATATTGAATATGCTGATATAGCAGCTGGATTTGCTGGGTGTGATTGACACCATGCGGTTTTTTGGTTGGAGGAGTCGACGCATGACATCTAGTACGGTTGTCTTTCGGATTGTCTTTGCTTGCTCGACATTATCCCCAGTAAAGGGTGTGTATGACGTGATAAGGAATCGGGTTCGAGGGTCTGGTATGAGATTCGCCAGGATGCTGACGAGGTCGTTATGCATGTATCCGGGGTATCGAAGGGTGGTGGTGGATGCAGACATAACAGTAGAAACCTACAGAGTATCAGTAATCGTGCAAAGGACGCTGTCTTGATCAATACTCACCAATTGATTGGTTTGTTGAAATGAAGGCTCTTGAACATGTAATCTATCCGCAGCGATTCGTGAGAGGGCACCATTGTCCACGACAACCTAATTAAGAAGATAAGTGAGTGGCTCTGAAAATACAAGTAGCTAACTCTCCTTCACATACCACTGAATCAGCATTCTGTGTCAATCTTCTCATGGCCAACAGGCTATTATAGGGATTGACTACGACATCAGCCGCCTGGGTGTCAGGAAACACGGAGTAGGTCTGGATTAATTTTTTGGGGAATCGATCGTTCATTCGTTCAAGAATATAACTCCCCAATCCGGATCCGGTTCCACCTGCGATGGAATGAAGCAACATAAATCCCTATACTGATTGTTAGAGACCCAAACCTCTTGGCAGTAACAACTTTATAACCGACGGACCTCTAACGAATCGCTGCCATCTGCCTCACGATCTATCATATCGAACACTTCTTCTTGCACAATTTCACCGGCTGCATATCCGGCAGCCCAGTTATTGCCAGCACCGATCCCTTGTCTACCAATGAAGAAGTTCTCGGGATTGTAGATGTTGCGATATGCGCCGGTTTGGATGGTATTGAGAACCTAAATTTCGCATAGGACCAAATCATTAGCGAAAATGCCTTGCATGACCCCTATATAAAGGTCACCGTCAGTTTCTTAGGGTAGATCATACTCTTGGTTCTAGGTCAAGCAATATTGCTCGAGGAATGTATCGTGTATCGTCGCTCTATAGTCCACAGACGCTCAATTATTAGCACTGCATAACCCTTCCAAATTCGAATTCAATCCACATTCCGCATGCGTGAGGTAACTAACCTGGTAGAAAAAGACATCTTTCCGATCTCCCCCCTCAGTCGCAAATTCTGCCAAATTCCCATCTTTGTTTATTCCGTGTTCGAGGCACAGCTGCTGCCAGAACTGACTGCCAACTAAAGCGACAAACCATCAGTTTCCATTTCAAATGCTCGCGCCATTTATCCTAGCCAATTGAAGAGTGTTCTAGCTGTGCAGCTTAACATCGCACCGGGAATGATTGCAGAGGGCTTGGTGTGTGGGATAGGCTCCGGGCTGTGAATTTTGTTCGCTCTTGATGGTCCGACGTACGTACCATTGTTACCGCACTGGCCGGCCTGGATTGTTATTATCTCTCTAGAAGCGGACAGGAATTAGTAAATTTAACAAAGGAAAGATACGATAGAATATATGACACGCACGGCCATGAGCTGGGGTTTAATATACCTTGGCATCTTGTCGACTTTGCTCGAAGCTGGTGCTTGATTTCGAGAACGCGTCGTCGCGTGGTGGAGGGAAAGGTTGGCGGGGATATTTTACATTGGTCCCGCCGTTGTCATATATTTGTGACTACACCTGATATTGAAATATTTGAATACCAACGGGCAAACGCAGCCACCACTGGCTCTAATTAAACATGCTAATTACTTCTGGCATCGATGATTATGGAGGGTTTATCGATAAGTATTATACTATTCTCGTCAAGCTGACTATCAATGACCTAATTCACATTGCTTGACCAGTTGTTCCACCCCCGCAACAACTCCGTCAACAATTATAACCTTTTCTCCCTGCAACGGACCAAGCGCTCTTATGCATCCTTGTCCGACAGCTCTGTCCATGCCTGCCATGCCAGCGCAACCGACATATGGCTGCTACTTGTTTCCCAGCTCTGTTAATTAACCGCTCAGTCGCTTCGACCATTCTTGTCTCGGCCTCTTCTGCTGGCGTAGTATGAAATCCAATTCTAGGAAGGTCATCAACCAATTCAATTTTCGCCGCCGTTCTAGATATTTTATGAACTCTATATATGTACGCACATCTACATGTACAATGCGGGATAATCAACTAGCTTTTATCCTCGACTTTTTCTTCCTTTTTACCCGCATGTCACTAAGACATGGTGCAAAGAACACTCTCCCTGTTATCACCTCTCGAATAGTCCCTGCGGAGACGATAATCCACAAAATCAACACGCAGAGCGTCAGGATCTGCCAACAGCAAGTTAGCGGACTCAGGAATGTTTGTCTGAATGACAAATTTGAACAAGAGGATAATACATACAGTGCTGACGACCTTGAAAAATTGAGATGGCATCTCTACCGCCATCAGGATGGTGCAATTAGCGTAAACACCCAATGGGAAGATCGAAGCCCACCATCCCATTGTAAAAGGGATTCTTTTGCACTTGGCAATAGAAATGATCGCAGAGAGCATCCACATGAACCCGAACCCCCAGAGCATCAATGCAAACATAAATCCAACCGCATAGAACACGCCACCAGCAGCGGGATCAAGGGTTTTATTTAGCGGGAAAAATTTCCGCGCGCCTACGCCGAGCTTTAGGATGCTGGGACTAGATCAGCTTTCAAAATGCCACAACCGTGACTCAAGCGGAAGAACCATCAAGTAGTTTCACCACACGCAAAGGGGACTTGGGGAAACGCTTACACAAAACCCCCTTGGCCCATTGGGCCAAGTGGGATACAAGTACTGACGATCACGGACTTTGGTGGCAGCTTGTGTAGTGCCAATCTCTCGAAATATACCGCGAGGATTATCATGGAGAATAACATCCCCAGGCCCCAGAGAAGGTACGAAGCTGAAAGTGGGGGAAATATCAGTATCTCAGATCCAATATATCCCTTATCTCAATATCGCGGATGTGCGCGAAATGTACGAACCTATGATTGTCCACAGACTAAGCTGTGGTGTTGGTAGATTTTCTGCCACAATTGCCCCAGTAGATGCTGCAACGATTGTACTGACGACGGGCAACAGCCATGCCGCCGTCATCGAGGGTAGATCCGACTGCCTTCCAGATGCCATTCTGCCCGCGGTTCAATTAGATTACAGTAATTTCCAAAACAACTCAGATCAGGAAGGAGAAGGAGGAGAAGTAGGAGAGAAAGTTATACTTACAACATAAACGGGAAACCGACAGCACATACAACGGAAATGACTGAGTCAACTATCCAAAGCGCCCAGGCGACTATCTGTACCCAACTTCCCCACGCAGGCGAACAAACCAGGGCAATCATCGACACGACGGTGGAAAACCCCATCGGAAATGTCCCGATGAAAAGTGACTGAACCGGATGCTGGAGCATGACGCGCCAGATCCCGGGCCAGAGGGCATATCGCAAGATCGAGATGGCTAGGAAAATCGTGAACAGAACTGTATTGAGCCCGAATATGCCAACGGATATCCAGTAGAGCCATGTTCCGTTGTATGGGAGATTGAAGAGGAGGATGGAGACAATGCCCGTCCCCATGTTTACGGTGAACCATCTGTATATAGTAGGTCATGAGAGATTAGCAAAAGTTTTGCTTTCCTGTGGCAAGAATGAGATGTCAAGAACAAGATCCCCCCCCCCTCCATCTTTCAGAGTGAAAACGAAACTGGGACGACGAGGTATGTAGGGAAAAACGAAGCTTGAATAGGCATATAGCTCAGGTGGGCTCAACATACGAAGGCGTAAAATTCCGCACTATCTTCCTCCACCCGCGATCATTTTTTGCCAGTTCTTCATACTCCTCTCCATCGGCTAGCTGGCTCTCCGGGTCTCTCCCGCTATCTTCCCCACTCCCTTCACACCTTTTGTCCACATTACCCTCTGGGGCTATGCTATCGCCACTTTCCACACCCGTATCTTCCTGGGAGGTGTGAGATGAATCGGCTGTTCCCGACGGGCAAGCTTGATCGCAATACGTGGGCATTTGGGTGTTCTTCTTCGTCTTCTCCTGCGTCTTCAGCTGTTGCTTTTCTGCGTCTACCGTCTTATTTGTTCGCGACGAAAGGAACGAAAAGTCACGGCCGGAATCGCATCCCAACCTACCTACAAAAGAGGTGAAAAACGTGATTTGCGAGGGGGATTGAGGATATCTAGTTATATATGTACAGAGTATAGATATAAATATATGGAAACATTAGCTGCGACTGGCCTGGGTGCCAGGAATTGATGCATTCGAATTCTCCATCCAAAAAAATGGAATGCAATAATAGATTGCACAGGCTGCAAGTTGAATGGATATTGATTAGTTACAAGTACAGATATGCACACCCAGAGAAAAATCGTTCAATTTAGATCGACAGACCACGGTTAGGTTCGTCAAAGAGACTTCCGTGGCAAAAATGATGGGTGAGATTGGCTGATGTTACGTCATCGGCTGAGAGGGTATCGGCCGAGGGGAATCCACACCTCGAAATTGCGCATTTTTCATGCATCGTTCGTCACACTTCCCACGAGACCGCATGCAGGAAGTGTGGTGTGTCTATATATCTCGAAAGCAACGTAATTTCCGGAGATCGCACGACATATTAAAATCCGTATGTATGTATGAGCTATACGTATAAAAAGAAGTTGTATAAACTTCTTTTCTCTTTCTTCTCTTTTCTCTTATATCTACACACCCTCCCAAAGGCTACCTATATTAAGCCTTTGGCCCGAACAATGCTTCCACCGTATTATACGTATATTTCAGATCCAAATGCCAATAATTTACCGCCGTCGCCTTTGCAACCAACCACGCCTCATCCAGTGCCTTCACTACCTCTTCAGGCAACGGGCCCTTCTCAATATCCGCCAAGTTCGCCTGCAACTGCTCGAAGCTGCTCACGCCAACGATAATCCCATCGCGCGACGATGGGTCTGTTCCAATATTCAACGCAGAGTGGTGATGCACCCAGCGAAGCGCGGTCTCGATAAGCGTTAAATTATGTTTCTGCACAACGGGCTCGATGATGCGCAGCGCGTCGAAGTTAGCGTCTCTGAAGTATCGTTTGCGGTAATTGGCGCCTAAGGATCGATCCGCAAAGCGGCCGGTGGCTGGTATCTCGGCGGATTTGTATTTACCGGATAACAGGCCGCCGGCTAACGGGTTGTAAATTACCACGTCGATACCGTAGCGTCTGCAGGCGGGGATTAGCTCTGTTTCAATCGAGCGGGCTGGAAGGCGTTGAAGGAGTGGTAGCAGTTAGCGGGGTTTATTTTCCTGCTGTGTGCCTTAGGACGTGATTGAAGGCGTCGACAACTCACTGATGGTATTATACATGGCCTGATAGATCGTTGGCCTCACCCAACCGCGCTCATTGCACATAGTGACAATCTCGGCAACTTCGAAGGCAGTATAATTGCTCAATCCAAGTTGCACAAATTTCCTTTCCTTATGCAGCTCGTTGACAGCTTCTAACGTCTCCGCAAAGGGGACGGATCTATCCGCCGCATGTAGGTAAAAAATATCTACACAATCCGTCTGCAGCTCCTTCAGCGACTCATCGAGCTTCTCTTTCACTACATTGGCGTGGTGGTAGCCTGGTTGGGAAGGGTACCATTTGGTTGCGAGGGTGAGACCCCGTTCCTTCCAGCCTGCCCGCGCCGTAAAGGCTTCCTGTTTCCCGTCAACATAAATGCGCGCGGTGTCAGTTTCGTTATAGCCTTGCTGCTGGAAATAGTCAAGACATTTTTTGTATTCGTCCAGGGAAGTTATGCGTGAGCCCGCGTCACGATCGGGACCAAAGGTCATTAAACCGAGAATGACGCGAGGTTTGACATTCTGCGCGACGAGAGGCATACTGAGAAGCGGAAATGAGGTTTCTAACTGTTGGGTGGTGGAGGAATCGGTTTGTGATTAGCCGATGGACATTCAGTGGAGTTACTAGATTTCCGAACGGATAAGTTTGGCCGATTTGCAGCAACGATTCCAATTTATAAGATTCAGTTTCACCAATTCGCGCAGTTGTTGCATTGATAATATTTTTAGGCGCCAATATGCGGGGTATTGGTGGTCTCATATACTCCGTACGGAGTACACCAGGGCTTTGCACGGTTAGCTTATGACGCGGGCCAAAGTCAATCTGGAGATTGGGGCAGGAAATTAAACTTTGCCGCGGATGAGCGCCAAGCAAAACTGGCGTTTTCTCCACAGAGAGCCCAGGCTTAAATTGAAGTGAATAATAAAACGAAACTTGAACAGCAATGTGCCAAGTGTCCCACTGACGTAGAGCTCGTTAAAGCTGATATTTAGCGCTCCAAGGGTCCATTACTGCAAATCGAAGTTTTGAGTAGGTCCCGAGCGCGTTAAGAGCCAAGCTCCAATAGATCGCTTGAAGAAAGCTACAGGGTATTTAGAAACATGCTAAAATACATGCTATCTGCATTGTAAGATAGTGGAGGATTCATCCTCTGTCTTTACTGAAAATTTTCCGTTTCTTGAAATTGCTGTGCTTCATGGTTCCGAGCGCTACAGCAGGGTTGTGTTCTCTTTCTGTTTGACGTCCCACATTGTCGGTTTTACTCAACCGTGCACTTCGCAACGGATTGGTGTGCATGATTTGGGATCTAGGCATCGTGGAAACCCCTTCTGCCCGGGGTTTATTGACTGGGGGTTTGCACGAGCTCGCAGGCTGCTGCTGATCATGCGACATTCTCTTCACTTTGGTTGTTCTTGATAGGTTAGAGGGACCTGAAGTTTGCTGCATATTCCTCCGCGTAGACCGTTGGGTTGTTGTGGGGTTTGGTAAGTGTGAAGAATCGGACTGGCTTCCATCACGCGATGTCGAAGTGTTTGGATTTCCTGCTGCGGAAGCGGATTGGACAGTATCTGTGTCAATTTAGTTTTGAAAGGTATCTACTTTAGCTAGGAAACCTTACTTGTCTTACAGTGCTTTGATGAGAAGTTGCCAGTGACTCTAGCTTCCTTTACAAGTTTTCTTTTCCCGTGGGCATTCATCTGGTCCCCTATCTGATTGGAAGCTTCCGGAAGCATCGCATCTTTCTTCTCATTCATTTGGCTTCTTTGTGTCGCTGGGTTATGCAGAGTGTTATTAGGATGGACATCTCTCTCTCCAATGTGGACAGGTGGTATTGAAGCAGGTGGCCAGGTTTGCTCCATATATTGTGAAATCTCTGGAGTTATAGGCTCTGGTGACGGCAGGGGGAAGGCACTAGTTGGCATTGTTGTGACAGACCTTGTCTGTCGTTTTGCTAGACAGCCGGGATTTTCAAGATATCGCCTTTCGGTCTCCCAGAATTCAGGGGACTGAATTTTCTTCAAGACCGCCATAGGGTCGAGCCTGGGAAGATCGTGCAATTTACACTTTTCTAGCAACAGTCGCGCGGAATTTTTGGACGTAGCTTTAAGACTTTCTAAGCTGTGGTAGCCCTGGCCAGATTCAATTACAACATGTGAAAGCCTTGCCTCCCTCGCCTTGGCAGCAATCTGTGTCGCCATATATCTGTGGTAATTCAAGTCATCGACTTCTAGAAGGCAGGCGATCCCCAGCGTACACTGATGCGGTTCATGCGTAGTCAAAGTTGTTGAAAATGGACACAGCTTCTCTGGGCCGCGCGAGATCGGTGCATTGGAAGGTGGGCACGGAGATGGGGTTCGCTTGTATGGTCTGGGGTCACCAAATTCTTTTGTAATCGTTTTGCTCCTATATTCTTCGCCCGTAGTACCCCAAGGTGTAGTTGAAGACGAGGGTTCATATATTCCTCGGTTTGCCAGTCGTTTAGTCAGCTTTGTTAGATTTCTTTTTGTTAAAGGAGCCAACTCTGAAGCGTGCTCACAGCTAGCCTTCCAGTAGTAGGAGTCATTATGGCGACGGAGGGAATTGGAAGATCGGCCAGCGTGATCGGGCAAAACGACTTCTGCGAATCTCAGAGGTTGACCGTTGGTGGTGCGCGAGTTGAAGGGACATAATCCATTTCCGTGTGTTCTGGAATGTAGTATCGCTGGCGTAGACGGCCACAGGCGAGTCCGAATCGCCATTAATCCCTCGCAGTGGTGACTCCATCGCCAACAACGGGTTGATCGAAGAACACGGTGAGTGTCAGCACGTTTGCAGTAACCGTGCCAAGTGCGCCCCAGCTTAACCGTAATATCACCGCAACCATAATATTTTAATTTTTATGAAAAACATGAATATCTTCAACATTATTGTAGATATGAGCTTCAGATGAAAATAGAAGTATATGTATCATATTCTAAGTATATTATAATATTCTTTTCTAAATAAAAATAAGTGATTCTCTCATACTTGAAATCTGCTATGCTAAATTTGTTCCAATTTTCATTCTAGATATATTTTTATTTAGAATATTGTAATATACTTATTAGAATATGATACATATACTTCTATTATAATAGAGGACTCATATCTATTATGATGTTGAAGATATTCATGTTTTTCTATAAGTACCTTTTGTATGATGAACTCATACAAAAGGTACCTTTACGGTTGCGGTGATATTACGGTTACGCTGGGGCGCACTCACTAGAGAGAGTGAGTGCGCTTGGCACGGTTAGTTGCATATAAGAGCGCTAACACCAGCATCAGTGGTAAAAATGTTATTAGCTGCATCCTGTCCACCGGCGTCATGGAGGGTTTGCAGCTGAATCTACCATCAGTATCTGAGGAATGAGAAATTGTCCTGCTGGTTCGGACAAGGTTTAGCACACAAGCCTTGGTGTGCTAATTATTGTGGAGCTAGTCTGCATTAGGAAATAGTGATTCTATAGGCAGACTGTAATTTAGAGGGATTCTGCGGCGCCAAGTCTAGTACGCACGGCCTTCCTATATAGGCATAGATGCAACGATTCGGCGCTGCTGTGGCATAGGCCTTGTAAATATTATTGTATTCATCTAATTGGGTAATCCATCACTGTTGGACTGGCCGTGACCGTGTCTGGGACCAGGACCAAAATACTTTGATAGTCTCATTACCAAATTGGTTGATCCCATTATTAGTTAGTTACACAGTACGGAGTACGGAGTACAGTCCAGCCACTTCCCCCTTTCAGATCGTCCCGGTGCAATTTCCTCATTATTGGCGCCACCACAGCACCCGTGCCTGATTGCGACGTTGATTGTTTTCCAGATCCCCAGCTTCTAACACGAAGCTAACCTCAGAGCTTTCCCAGGCCCCTGCCAGTGGTGGACCAGCTTTCCAACAGGCCTTAATATTCCAGAGGGATCCGCATGGATGCCTTTGCCAACGCCTCCGAAGTCCAAACGGGCCGAAGCTATTGATGACTCCGGTATTGATCCCGATTCCGAACGTCCTCTTCTACACTCCCGACGCTCGTCTGGACTTAGCCAGACCTCGAGGACCTCGCAGCGACAGGGCGTCCCCTGTCGTCCCTCTGACAACAACTGCCTCAATGGCTTAAACTCGAAGAGTTCCTCCAAGCAAAGACCTTCCGTAAGATTCTCGCGTCAACACCACGACAAGGGTGAATCCACGGACGAGTCTGACGAGGACGAAACAATGACCACCAATCGGCCTCCCTCGAACCGGATAGGGGATCGCCGGTCCAAGTCACAGGTGCCCTTGTTGAGGAAGGATGAGGAACGGGGCCGGCGGCTGAGCAGTCCAGTTTCTGCTGATGGCAATGAGGTGACTCGGCCTAGTTATATGACGAGGAGGAGGTCGGCATTGAGAAGTAGAACTCCTGAGTATGACCCTCAAAATGCTACACGGAGGAAATACTATATCGCCTCATTCTTCCTCGTGGTGAGCTTGGTGAGTTTTGTCGTCCAGACGGAAACGGCTGTTTATATTCAGCATAACTTAGGATGGGAGAAACCGTACTGCATGCTGTGAGTCTTCAGTTATTATTTGAGCACAAAGGGACAATATGATTTGGAATACTAAAGGTGTTTCCAATATATTTATTCCGCCTTGAATCTTCCTCATCATAAATTCTAATCTTTTTCCATTCATCCTTATCTTTGCCGTATAGTTATTTAACCCATGGATCTTGGATTTTCCTTTGGCCTATGCAATTGCTGTTACTCCGAATCCAGAAACGTAAACTTTCATGGGATGCATTTTGGAGACGGCATGTCTATCTTCTCCGGACCACGGCGCAGATGGTCGAATCCCGTAATCTTCACCTCACCACCCGAGACCTCCATCACTCACCAATCCCTTACATACTCCGAACCACTGCACTGATTACAACCGCGCTGACTGTTGCCGGTGGTTCATGGTACGTCGCCGTCAACTTAACGACCGCGAGCGATCTGACGGCAATTTACAATTGTTCTGCCTTTTTTGCCTACGCCTTTTCCATTCCACTCCTTAATGACAAACTACGATTCGACAAAGTATTTTCTGTCGTCGTTGCCATCATTGGTGTGCTTGTTGTTGCCTATGGGCCTTCTAGCCCTCCTCCGGAAAATGGAGGTGATGCAGCCCAAGATGCAAAGGATGCGTCGAGCAGAGCTCTGGGCAACATCATCATCGGTGTGGGTAGTATTCTTTACGGTTTATATGAGGTCTTGTATAAGAGAATGGCTTGTCCTCCGGAAGGCACAAGCACGGGGCGTGGTGTGACATTCGCAAATACTTTTGCAAGTCTGATCGGGGCCTTCACGTTATTTGTCCTCTGGATACCCTTGCCGGTTTTCCACATTCTTGGTATTGAGACGTTCGAGTTGCCGCGCGGCCAAGCGGCAAGTCTTCTACTCATATCCGTGATTGCAAATGCTAGTATGTTTAATCTTTCTCCATCTTCGCTGACGAACCCAGCAATTGGGGCATTTCGCACACATGTTGCTAGTCTTTTACTCAGCTAACTCACTAAAACCCCCGACACAGCATTCTCCGGCTCCTTCCTTGTCCTTATCTCCCTAACCTCCCCCGTGTTATCCTCAGTCGCCGCCCTCCTCACAATCTTCCTGGTCGCCATCGTCGACTGGAAGTTAACGGGTATACCCCTCAGCTCCGCCTCGATATACGGGGGCATCCTTATCATCATTGCCTTCTTGCTCCTTAGCTGGAGTACATATCGTGAGTTAGACGAAGATAGACGGAAACGATCAGCCGACAATAGACCGGATTCTGAAAGTGATGTGTAATTTAATTTAAAAGCAATTCGCACATCACACACCACCAGAGCCTAAGATGAGAAGTTGTATGTACAATGCATTGCAGGTGAAATTGAGGAATGTTTGATCGATATGAAAGCATACACATACCCTTATGCGATTCCCCATGTGTCAGATGGGGAAATCTGGTACGCATGAGTCACACTGCAGATTTATCAAAATACTATGAGAATCTGCCTTGTCCTTTTCGTCTTCTTTTATTGTCCCCTTACGCCCATTTATATATTCTGATTAGTTCATGACCTCCCTCATTTTCCCTGCTCCTCTTCTTTTCCCTTTTTATTTCCTCATTTCATATCGAACCCCCTTTTTATGTGACATGACATAAAGGAAGATTTTTAACAAGGAAGAAAAAAACCCAACATATTTTAACATTGTTACTGGGCGGCTATATTCACTCACATTCGTATATCATGTTCATTTCTCAACCCTTTTTCCCACCACAGGATCTAGATAAATTTTCTTTTCTTGGGTATTTTAACTTTTTCTTTCTTTTCCAGTATCACTCCTTTTTTTCATTCTCATTTCCTTGATCTCGTCAACTTTGTATTTTATATATATTTAGGTACCTTGACTACATAGCGTATAACATGCAAGGACAAGAACGATCAAGCCTTTCGCCCTCATAGCGGCGTTGCTACGCCGCACACCTTCACACCTGGGACTGTGTGTGGAAACTCCCGAGCGTCATTAACTCCCTCCCACACAAACCCCATACGCGTATTTTTTTCTTCCGTTGGCCTTTTTTTCTTTCTTAATCTTCCTCCATCCTCCCACCCCCCCTTTTTTGGCATAAACTGATTCACAAAAACCCTTGCAGAAATATCCCCTGACGCTCAGATTTTCTGCGCTATGTATTAAATTGCTTTCCATGGTCGTTGGCTATTTATTACCTTACCCTCTTTCTCCTCCCTTTTTCGTTTGTGGGGTGATAGTCCACATGTTTTTATCATGTAAGTAAGGAATTTTTGCCGTTGAATTACTTTATTTTAGGACTTATTTTATCCGCCGGGTTTTCTTTTTTCTTTATATATATATATATACACTCACTTGCCTCTAGTCCGACGGTTCTATGTACATACCCTTTGTTTCCGCCCGTGCTACCCTTCTTTCTTTCATTTTTTGAAATGTACACGCACATGTACGTACATCGTTACCGCGAGAATAGGGTGAAATCACACTTGGTTCTCTCTTGTGGAATTTGATATACTTTGGATCACCCGAGGAGGGAAGGGGTGTGCTGAGGGAGGGTTGTTGAATTTGTTTGGTGATAGATCTTTAGATATAGATGGGTGGATGGCGTGGTTCGCTGTTTTAGATATATGTATGTATGAAAGATATATTCGTAGGGAGCATACGTCGTTAACTAATTTAGAGCCATTTCATCTGCATTGCGTTTCTACTTCATTTTAGTTTTGGTGTGTAGTATATTAAGTGTTACAGGGGGAGAGCGGACCTCTGCGAGGTCCCTGTGGATGCATTCGTTCCTTGTTTTGAAGATACGAAGTGTAGCTTAACTAATAACCTATATCGTACGCTACAAGCAGCTCTCGGAACTCGCTAAGTGAAGTGAAATGGAGTTAAATAAATAACAGAGGAGAGAAAAGAAATATACGCGCTCTAAATCTGGACAGCGAACTTATTGTAGCAAGACCCTTCCGCGAACGAATGTGTGCCGTAGGGACAAAAAGACGCAACGAATAAATTGTGGGTGGGCGGGTCGATGGAGGATATGTCTAGCGCGAACTATATGATCTACAGAATGTAGGGTGCGTGAATGGGGTGATTTGAAAAGAAAGGGGTAGTTTGAGGACCAAAAAAAAAAAAAAAGAAAAAAGAAAAAAGAAAAAGAAAAAGAAAAAGGAAAAGAAAAAGGAAAAAAAAAAAAAAAGAATTGAGGCGAGACGGGCAGGAGAGTGTCACTATTCATGCCCTACTCTACTGTACGTAGCAAATTTTATTGTATTGTAGCCATGCGCTCAAGATGTAGTTATTTGCCAAGTGGGGGAAAAGAAGAAAGCAAAATAGTATTGGGTAAGTAGAACTATCTTGGGCCAAGCTTGGTGAGGGCACCGGGGCCTTGTTCTTGCCATTCTTCTTTGGAGATCCACATGTTGTCTTTGTCTGCGAGCTGTATTGTTGGGGTAAAAGAAAAAGTGTTAGTGTTTTACATGTTCTATGTGTAGTTTGCGTAGAATAGATGGGAATGGTGTATGGCTTACAAGGTTTGCGAGGACGGCACCGCCAAGGAAGACCATGTGTCTTCTTCGAGGCGGATCTTCGATGCGGACTTTGAATTTCTGCAAACATCGAGATGGTTAGCGTATGACGAGTATGGAGGACGGCTAACATCTCGAACGTCCTGCCTTTCCAGGACTCGACTTACATTTAGTCTCTCCGGGTTCCCTTGCAGCACCCTTGTCAACCAGAGTTGTTTCAGTTCCTTTTCAAGTCTTGATGGCAGACCGGGATACATGCTGCTACCTCCGCTGAGAACAATAGCCTTATACAAGCTACTCCTCACATCAACATCCGCAGCCTGGATGGTGTTGAATAAGAATTCTGCGATGCCAGGTTGCTCGACATCAACAAGATGCGGCTGGAAAAGACACTCGGGCGCTTCAAACCGCTCACTACCAACTCTGATCACTCTGCCATCTGGGAGGGTATATGATTCCACTAGCACGGTTGTGTCTTCTGAAAGGCGCTGGTCAAGCTCCAGGTCGTAGGATACGTAGCAGAGCTTCTCTTTGATTTGGCGCACGGTCTCGAAGTCAGCGGTACGGTTAAGTGCGTAGCCGCGGCGGAGGAGGAGGGCGATGAGGTTGCGTGTAACATCGCGGCCAGCAACGTCTAGACGGCGCGTTAGGTGGTTTAGCACTGTGGACTCATATACCGGAACGATGTGTGTGACGCCGTCGCCTGAATCAACTACAACACCACTACTGAGGCCTATATATTTCGTTCCAATATCAGTACTTTCAGGTCGTTCTTGGTGTTGAGTTTTGGCGGACCATGGTATCCTCACCTTGCGCATAGAGGGCCAAAACTGCCTGTATAGCAACATATACTCCCCCAAAGTTGTAACCCTCAAACATCACCTCGCACATCTGCTCTCTGTTTTTAAGGGGGTTCATAGGAGGTTCGGTAAGGAGGATCTTCCGGCCTGTGGGATCAATTTTCATTTTATCGTAAAACGTATAGTTCCATAGATGTTGCATATCATCCCACTTCTTCACAATTCAATTCTCCATCTATATATAGGATAGCGCGCCCGATTAGTGACCCGAGCCCCCCCAAAGAGGGGGGGGGGGGGGGGGAGAAATCTCGAAAAGTGGCGGAGGTTCTCATACAGGATAGCTGATTTGTAGCATCGATCTAGCAGCGGCAGCCTCATCACCACACATAATATCCTTCACGATAATATCCCCAGCCTGCTCCTCTGATCTGAGAATCGGCCGCCCCACTATCGAGGGGAACTGGTGTTCGGGGAAGTTCTATTTCAAGTGGAATTGACCTCCGGTATTAGCGATAGCTCCTCGTAGAGACCAAGCATACGATTGGGAAATGCCATACCTGACCCGCATATCCGACTTTCAGGAAACCGGTACCTCCATCGAGAACTGCGTATCGCGGCGTCAGCGGAAGTTACTGGTTGCGGGGAGGTTGACGTTGGGGGCTGAACATACCAATGGGGGGCTCCGCCATGGTCGCGATGTGTTATATTGGTGAATGGTAGACTGAAGGACTGCCCACAATATAGGGAGAGAGATAGAGGAGTGTGGGTGGTAGTAATGGGTGTGTCGTAGCGGTGCTGTTTGGCTAACTGTCGGAGTTGCCAATCGAGATTCCCCTTGTCCCGCTGCGGATGGGGGGTGACGATGCTCCCAATGCAGTTTAGCGCACCCACTGCCTCAAACCACGGCTCTCAACTTCACACTTCACCACCACCACAACATTTGCTGCAATAACTTACAACTTAATATATATTGCTTGCGTCGACAAGGCCATGTTGTAATGCGGGCTGTTGATTCTATTCTAGGGTCCTTGAGATCCGGGTTCTAGTTACAGTGTGGTCTTCGTCGCAGCAGCAGCCAACAGTCACCAATCTCCGATATTTTGAACTTTGGCCTTTCCAGTCGCTGATGCATATGGGTAGACCTTTTTATTCTCTTGCCATCTTTAGTATGAAGAAGATCTTTAGCTTCTTTTGCATCTTGAACGATTTCCAGTCAAGCATGTTTTACATTTAACGTTATTTATATGTTCCTGTCAGCGGATTGGTCCAATATTTGCTCTCATTCTCTGGAGCAGAGATGTCTACGGCGATCTTTATGATATATGCGCTTACTATGAATTTTCTTACTCTTATTCCGGGGAGAGCTGGGCTTCATGCCGTTTTGTTCCGGGGAGCAGCGCGGTTAGAAATTCTGGCACCCCGAGTTATTATCCCCAGGCATGAGATGGAGGGACATGCTTATGCCCTACCAAGAACGTCCACAGCACTTGATGTCCTTGGACTACTTATAGGACCGTGTAGATGATGGAGTGACCTCAGAGCGGGTTCTCAGTCTACTGGGTCCGAATGAATGACGATCGCATACCGCGCAGCAGGGAAATAGTCATTTTCCCAGGCACTTGATGTTCTACCTCTCCTTGAACAAGGACTATCTATGGATGGACTTGTCCAAAGTTGATGTCTACTGTACAGGGTGGCGTTATCATTGATGCTTGTGGTAGGCAGACACAACGGGGTATCTAGCCGGAGGAACCGCCTGCCCATTGCCAAACCGACTCAATACATCCGCTCTCCATAGAGCTATTTCAAGATTTACGCAGTCGATGCGTATATAGGGCCGTTCATGTTCGCATGGATGGATTCCAGAAGCTGCATCCGTAGTCTACGTGAAGTGGCGGGCAGACTACAGAAGCGAACGGCGGGCGTTACTGCTTGACTGAGAGATTCCTATCGCAGCTAGAACTTTCCGCGCCAGAAACGGATGCCCCTGCCGGGAGGCGCTCCCCCTGGGGTTACCCAAATAGAATGATCAAGAGTGTTCCTTCCTCTCCAACTGTGCGCCTCTCTCACAGCTGAGTTTCGCATCGGTTGACATAACGCCAATTTGAACGGCGCTAAACTCAATTAGGAAATCGCAACCCCCTTTTTAACCTTCAGGGGCAAAGCCGTTGGTCCTCCAGGGCTGTTTTTCGGGTTTGCGCAGGGGCAGGGGCGAGTTCCATTTACGGATGGTGCTGCTGTGTCTCTTGTTCTTCTTACGGTGGCGGCAGGCTACTCTATTGCTGGTTATGGTTTGCTCGAAGTGCTGGATCCCGTTGCTCCCGTTACAAACTTATTTTGCCAGAAAGTATCGGCTTTCGTGCCATACAATAGACTAACCTTTCGTCTGAATGGCGAAAACAGTTCCGAATGACGCAAAAACTAACACTGTGTCTTCGACAAATGACAGGAAAATTGGACCTTTTGTCTTCGCCCGACGCCACATCAGCGCTTCCTCACGGTCCCGAGGAAGGGTATAAAAATCACATCCTCGTCCGCTCCTCTCCCGGTCCCTTTCTTCTTCTTCTTTCTCCCCCCCAGGGGCGCAAAACTATTCTCCTCCCTCCCTTGCAGTGCCCCAAGCCCTCCTGACTACAAGAACTTCCTTTGTATGACCACGACAAGCAGTTCTTCGCTCGCAACATCCACCCGCCATGCAAATCCAGCTCTTTTGGTGAAGCATGTGCACAATAAAGTCCACTTCCATCCAAATCCACCACATCGACCCTTGAGAGATTTCTTTTGTTAAATCTCGGGTCCAACCCTTTTAAAGCCACCACATAAGTTTCGCTAGAAGGTTGCACAAACATATCCTACAAAACCAGTGGTCAGCACCTCGCGAACGACCTTGTGGCTTTCCGTGGAACAAGTGGCAGCGACCAAATAGCAGTCGCAAATCGAGCAAGTCAGTGATCCTGCAACAGGGACATCGGTGCCTTTCAAGTAAGAATTTGCTTCGGCAACTACCTCTGAAAGGTATCCGACCAAACACGGGCCCGACGCTCTCTCAGCGTCGGTATGTGCCTCATTTTATCCTGCTGTTCTGTTCCTATTGATTTTCTTACCATGTACTAAAGTGGTTTCTCTACCAGGAAAACCCTTTCTACTTCTCTACCTCTCTGAAACACGGGCCCGACACTCTCTCAGTGTCGGTATGTGACTCACTTTATCAGTTCCTATCAATTTTCTTACCGCGTACTCAAGTCTTTTCTCTGCCAGGGAAAAGCATCTCTACCTCTCTACCTCTCTCCCTCTCTCCCTCTCTCCCTCTCTCCCTCTCTCCCTCTCTCCCTCTCTCCCTCTCTCCCTCTCTCCCTCTCTCCCTCTCTCCCTCTCTATATCTCCACGTCAAACTCTCAGACCCTCAAACTCTCAAACCCTTAAACCCTCAAAACCTCAAAACCTCCATGTTCTCAAATATATGAAAATCACGGACTTCTCTGTCACAAAGATCAACCACAATTCCTCTCTCTCTCTCTCTCTCTCTCTTTCACTCACGCACTCTCTCTCACTCTTTCCGGCTACATCCTAATCCATCCCAACCTTCACACCCTCAAATACCTCTCTCAACAACTTTCCCAGTCGGATTCAACCACCACGAACCTCCACTGGCCGCCGTTATCTATTGACTGAACCAAAATTTCCCAAACCCTCTATAGCCAGGTGAGAGAAATAATTAAGCTCCCCGTCCGTTATGGGTTGAAGGGCTTTTTTAACTCTAGATGTAGAGGTTCACGCATGAGATTTTCCGAAATGGAAACGACCCCAACGAATCATCAAATTCGCGCTTCCGGACAACCGATGGAATGCCCAGCTCCTGCTAGAATCCAGAATCCAGAATCCATGGGCTTTGGTCTTGAATATTTTGATTTTTCTTGATTTCTCTGATTATTTTGACTATTTTGACATTCTTGACACTCTTGACTTTCTTGACTCTTTTGCCTCTTTTGACTCTTTTGACCCTTTTGACTTGCTTGACTTTCTTGACACTTTTGACACTTTTGACTCTTCTCTTCTGACTCTTTTGGACTCTTTTGATTTTTGACATCCTTTTAAATTCTTCAAGCTTTCAAATGCTTTCATCACATTCTCATCATTCTCTGTCCTGGCCGAAGTTTTTAACTGATGCTACACAAGAACCATCAGATTGTTTCCCTCGGTCGTCAAGCCAAATGGCGGGACTTCATTTAGATTGGTCCTTTGACTTCATTCAAATTCTTTCATTCCTGTATCTAGTTAACCAGTCCTGGCTGAGGTTTTGAACTGATGTTACACAAGAACCATCAGAGCGTTTCCCTCAGTCGTCAAGCCAAATGGCAGGACTTGGTTTAGATAGGTGGCCCTGGTCGAGGTTTTAAACCGAAGTTAACACAAGAACCCTCGGAGTGTTTCCCTCGGCCTCAACAATTTTGTTGAGTCGAATGGCAGGGCTTACAAATCAAAGTTTAACAGATTTGCATTGAGAAACTCCCTCCTATGGTTTTTCTTTCTCTGCGTAGCTCTGTAGCTTGTATATTGTACGGTAGATGATCCTCCCCAAGATAGAGAGAAGTAAATGGTAGGGGACAAGTGTTAAAATGTATACTTGGTTTAACTGCTAAGTATGTAGTTAGAACTAAACGATGTTATGGAGAATTTAGATGGAACTTCGGTAGACAGCAAACCATGAAGTAGTTGGTCATCATTAAAAATCTGGGTATATCTAGCCCCCGCCACGGCCACGTTGGTTTGATGACCTCCATGGCAAGGCGGAAAGAGTATAGCTATAACTACGCATAGCTTTTCAAGCAGCCAGGATTTCACTTCCGCAAATGACTGATACGGGCAAAGACACCGTACAATAACAGTAATAACCCTCAATCCGATATTACACGTCTGTTTATTCGATGTGGATTGATTTTCAGTTAAGAACAGGGCAGATTGTCATATCAAACATTATCAGGTAGGGTTGGAAGGGGGGAGATTTCTCAACAGCAGACATAAACTGAAATTGAATTTCATTGAAGTGGAAAGGTCAGATGGAAGTAAAAGCAGGTGCTGAGGAAAGAGAGAAAAAAGAAAGAAAAGGAGAGTTAGAGCAAGTGTGGATATGCTGTTAAATGGGGGAAGGGAAGGGGTGGTATGAGGCAAGATATCCGACCCAACATAATCGCTAACAGATCCAAATCATGATTCATTTAAAGGATAGCTTTGCGTTTTGGGGGGCCTCGTTGTAGGTAACAGACGAAAGGAAAACAACAGAAACTTTTTGAGCGGATTAGACACCGAGTAGGTTCGCACGCTGAGCGGTTTCAGGGCTTCAGGATAGCATCAAGGGCTAAGTCGGACACGATTGCAGGGTGGGGGATAGCGACCGAGGATGAAGGACCAAATCCGAATTTTCTTCTGTTGAAAAACGATAATGAAATGGTCATGATTTGCCAATTTGCTCCGTGTCATCTTTCTTATTTCTGAAAAGGAATAAGTGACCTTGACTATGTTTCCCATTACCGGAGAAGTCGCCAAGGAGAATGGCCTAAAGTGATTTGAAGCCGTCGGGGCCAAGAGGGCATTCCGTGAATCGGTGATGGTACGGGGTCGATTTTGGAAACGAAGGACTGTTGGCAAACGGGTCTTTGCTGTTACCAATTGTACATGATTCCGTAAATTCGACACTATGGTGTCTGTCACCAGGATAGTTACATGCCATTTGCTTTGGATGGAGCATGGTCCGTATTTTGATAAGCTTTGTGAAGTGAAGCAGGTTATACGGTTTGTAACGCTTTGCTTCTCCGACTTCCACGGAAGTACCCTTCAGTTTTCGTGTCATATCGGTAGAGGGGAGGAGATACAGCAGGGCGGAAGTATGCTGACACTCCTTGCGCATTTATCAGGTCCTTTTTGCTTGGAAACTGTAGCTAGTTGTGAGCCTTGATGCCGTTTAATCGTGACATTTTGCGGAGGTGCTGAACAGACCGCTGATAGGTTCGCAGTGAGAATTTCGAGGGGCGCCTTTGACGCCATCTTTGTTCAGTTTTGTCTGAGGCCTAACGACACTCGCCGGTTGTTCTGGTGCTCTGTTTATCATCTCATATGCGCTGAAAACTAAAGCTGGTCGGTTGTAACGATGAAATAATAAGAGGTTGAGAAGTTGCCTGCTAGTTGTAGTGGGACAGGAAGACTAATCTCAGAGTGCATATTATTCTACTAGACAGGCATTACCCTGTTGACATCGACTGGGAAATAACAGGGGTGGATGAGACCGCAACCATATCGCTTTATCAGTCTCTTGTATGCGGCTTTGTAATGGCAGGAATTATCATATTGGATGAGCATGAGCTGAGGTGAGGACAGGTAAAAAAAAAAAAAAAAAAAAAAAAAAAAAAGGGAAATAACGCAGCCCCTTTCAAAGAAAACCAACAGAAATGAGAACAAAAGTGGGAAATTCTAACAAATGAATAAAAGGCAAACGCGACATATAAAATATATGAATCCAAAAAGTAAAAGAACCAAATTAATTAAAAGAATAGGAACATCGAAATTAAGAGGTTAAAAATAAAAGTAAACAGATGGCTCCCCCCAGACCTTATTCCATACCAAAAAGAGAAAAACTATTTTCGGGGTAGAAAAGAAAAGTGAAAATGAAAATAGAGCGGCTCTACCCTTCTTGTTGCACCCACTGACAATGTTGTTATTGCCAAAAGGTATTGTAGAAATGAGTCATGAAATGCAAATGGAAGGAAAAAGAGTAAAAAGAGGAAGAAGGAACGATACATGCACATTTGCAAACTAGGCGCTTTTTCCCTGGTGGCTTGACAAGTAAAATACCAGCAATGTAGGCAGGCACCTATAGGCCCCTGGGTAGGTATATGAAGTAGGTAAGATGCAGGATTGGACGATGGATCCGGGAGATATGTATAAGAGCGTGGAACCCTTATTTCGGATGTAAAATATAAACAGTTAAGTTAATGTGGGCTGGGCATGGCGTTCAAGCACGCAGCGTAAAGGTAGTTCAGTGGCGTATTCGTATATTTTTTTTTATATGCTTTGTAAAAGACGTATAAACATTAAGGCTCACGATCTGAGCAATCACTTTCTCTGAGTATGTCAATCAACCGATCTGTTAGCAGCAGTAGGGCCATAGTCTTTTAATTCGGGAATAATCCTAGTCGTGTCGACAAGGCCCGGATACGCCCTGGCAAAAGCCGGGCCCAGGGACCAGTTATTCAAGTTGCGCAGATGCCGCTCAAAGACCGGATTGATTATGAGCTCTTCAGAGTCTGAGGGTGTGAGAAGAGTATCAGTCGCCTCGTATGGCCAATTGATGCTCAGCGTTGTGGTGTACGGGATGAACCAGTTTTGAAAATCGTAGTCTGGGTACGACGCAACCATACGATCTCGCATGCGTGGCCAGGGGAGATAATCCATCCACGCTGGATGGGGTGTCATGATTTGTGAAGTGCGTGGGGTAAGCCATTCCGGGAGGCGGTCGTAGTTTTGCTGGGTTGGGTATATCTGCCATCGCATAAGGAGGAACATCACGTATAGGATGGCTACTTGTTCGGGAAGATTGCTTATGCCGGGGAATTTGCTGAGGATGTCGGTGAAAACTTTTGAGAGGGGATGAGAGTATGCGCTTTTTGCAGGGTTGAGGAGAGATGAAACGCTGGGATATGGTGGCCCCACAAGGATTTGTTTGGATGCGCCATCCGCCGCCTCGCGTTGGCGGGTGTGAAGGAAGTCCAAAAGAATGGCGTCCATGGGGCAAGTGGGATCCACGTTGCGAACCGGGACCATGTGGGGAGCTATGCACGGATCAAAGAGGTTGTTATGGGACGGGTGAAGGTAGCGAAAACGGGTTGAAATGTTGAAAGACGGTGAGGATGAGTTTCCTCGCGGTTCCGAGATCTTGGGGATATGTCGAGGGGAGTCCACGAGGAAATTAAAACCTAGTCTTTCCCCCGACCCCGAGAAGTCTAGGCCATGTGTTAGTCCCTGCCGTTGTGCATTAAAGCCATTTGTGAGTGTGTATCGGGCTTCGGATTGCTGTGTAGGAACGGAATTCCCAGGCCAGTTTGGACGGAGTGCATATCCTGGAGATCCCGTAGTCGAAGGAGAAAGAGGCTCCATGCTCCTCGGGGAATCAACAACACACATACCCGGCCCTGTACCCAAGTCGAGGCTCGCTGCTGGAGTGCGAAGAGGAGGGTCTGGGTGTGGTATTGTTGAATGATGGGATGCTGGCGGGTCGGAGTGAGAGGCGGGAGACGGGGGTTCAACGTGCGATTGGCATGACCACGAACGATATTCGGAGCCATTGCCATCGGGCACCCCTACATTATCACAAGAACGGGGAGTATCATTTTCTGAAGGTGGCGGAGGTACACCATTCACAACCGGCTGGATCATCGCCACAACGGACGAGAGCATCCTCCGAATATCCTCATTTTCCTTCTCGACTTCGCGTTTCCGGTTCAATGCCGCCTGGAGATCCTGATAGGGCTGCTGTGAGGTTAATTCTCGCACTCGCCGTTCCAGGGTCTCAATCTGTGCTTTTGTCCTTTGCCTAATCGCCCGCTGTGCCTCACGGTCATTTGCCCGCTTCTTTGCCAGCTGTTCCGGGGTGAGGTTGGCAACACCACGGGACGGCGCAGGAGTAACAGCTTTTCTTTTCTTCCCAGTTATCGAATTGGCTTCGCGTAATATTGGGTTGCCTTTGCTCTCCGAGGGAATCGAGGGCAGGTTGTAGGTTGGGTTGAGGCCAGGATAGGTCGACTCGGTAGGCGAAGCATCGTTGGATTCATGCTCGCTACTGTGGCCCGTCATGCCTCGTCGACAGAATGCGAGCTGGCCCTCCGAGAGGTATGAACCATCCCACGCGGTTTGAAAGAGAGTTTATTCCGGCGTATAGGAAATTAGTTCCTCCTTGCTTCTCCAACGAGATTCCTGGCGAATCCAGGCGTGCAAGGTGGAGGGGCTTCAGGCAGGCACCAAATATATGTCCACCCACACTCGCAACAACGAAAAAGAAAAGGTAATCTCTCTGTTTTCTGTTAGGCGGTCTGTACGCAAACCGTAATGAATGGTTAGCTGGGCTTTGGTCAGGCTATCGAGGCGACGAATGTCGAACTTTGATGGTTGTCCCAGCGCTAGAATTTGCTTGTCTCGCCCGCTGCGCCACTAGTGAGCACTTGGTGCATGCGGGACTAAATAAGCGCAGTTAGCGACCTAATAAAATCCAAATATCAGCAAGGTCCCGCGCTGGCAGGTTGGCTTGGGGTCAGGATGGCAATGTATGTGCAATTCAGGGGCACACCGGAGTTGTATCGTTATTCCCGGTCTTGGCCCAACACTTGTTCTGTCATAAATAACAACGACCAGGCGAGCTGCTGAACGAAGTCCCTGATCGACGCATCTTTTTTCTTTCAGACACCGACCTAGATCGCCAGGGTTCATACGATATAGGATGGAACTAGTGAATTAGCAGCAGTGAGCTAAATATTTACCCAAGCGCTGGAAGACGCGCCATCCGACCTGAATGATGCACGCGTCCAAATGTATCGTTAATGTAATTAATTGCCCACAACCACGCAAAGGGATCAAGAAAAAGGAGCTCAACGAAGGTGTAAATCCTTACTTGAGGAAGATGAGGACCTGGCCTTTGTTGATATGACACAAGCTGTGGTACCTAGCGTGCTCTAGAACCGAGCATATAAACGTCTCAGTTCCCACCGTTGCCCACCGTTATCTATATCTGACACGTCGAAGCCAACCCCTCTGGATGCAAGGTTCCCGGGGACATCTGTCTGATGAGCAATGATTGACTACTGTGGACCGTTATCCCCCACATGTTGCACTCCATGTTCCCCCAGCTGGTTGGCTCAGCATAAACAAAACCTATCAGCTGCGCATCTTGACACAAGTGGTTTGTTTCGGTGCGAACAGTTTGGGCATAGCACAGAGTCGGGATCCATGGATGACGCTGATGAACGTTACAACTGTCCACAGTTTTGTTGTTAAAGCTTGCCTGCAAAGGATACAGAGCATGCTAGATCATTTTGCGTCTGGCATTCCCTAAATATCAAGTCGAACAAGTTGGTACATGTCCAAATACCTAATCAGCTACGCATACGTCTAACCTTCTCATGGTCCTCATTTTTCAACCGACACGTCGGGCACAAGCCTTAGAAAAAGGCTCGAAATTATACAAAAGTCCCCAGTTGTTGATTTCCTAGTTCTTCCTTTTGAGCAGCTGTGGATATCTGCGAAATCAGGATATATCACTGATAACAATTGCTGTCCTGGTGTACGGACATTTAGATCAGAGGGTATAAAACCGGAACCCACGGCACGAAGGCTCGAGAGCTGTCTGAATATTTTCAAACCATCACCTTCAATCGATCCATTGCTCTAAAAACTACGTGGATAGGCATAAATAGCACATTTGCGTGCCGACGGGATAAATTTATACCTCGTAAGGAGAAATGATATCCCTAGATACCCCTTAGCCAGCAGGCAACCCCCGAAATCATCCAACACTGCCAGGGGCACTTGGAAGCTTACAAATTGGCCAAACTTCTAGAACCACACCGAGCTATGTAATTGCTATCATAGCGCCTTGAATTATGTGATACAGCATCCTATTGTTCTCCAGCGCAGCCTTTTTGCCCTGTCAAGCAAGTTCGACGAGATGTAAGTCTAGCTAGATCTGGTGCTAGCTTCGGAGACATATTCGACCCAGAAAGTATCCGAGTGGCGTTTTAGTTACACTGCCATTGGCCAGCGTCGACCACGATGAACATGAGCAGAATATCTACTTCGAGGTAGAGACCGAGCTGCAATTTCGTATAAGGTATGGAGACCTCAAGAGAAGAACATGGACATGTATGCGATGTAGTCGAAAGGATGGAGCTCATGGTTGGTCAGGTCTTTCATCGAAATAATTCAATCCTGCTGTAAACCGTCTTTCTCCACATCCCGCAGCATCTCGAACTGTCCAGAGGTCTTCCACCTTGAAAGATTTAAATAGGACCAACATTCCCCTCTCAAAAACACGATTCTTAGATAGATATTTGTTTGTATTCTAATTCCATTAAACCTATACTTTACATATATCGCACCTCTACTTAAACATTCCGTATCTTCCGTGCATCTCAGCCCCTCATCTCAATCTCGCTTTTACAGACCTGCACGCCGAACCATTAGTATTCTCACCATGGCATCTGCCCATCGAACTCCCTCGGACGCCCCTAGTGGTCTAGATACATTGGCTGCTGTCAACGAAGAGTTCTGGAAGTAAGCTTACATATATCACCTAGCTATCCTACACCCTCTTACCCAGTAAAAACAGCATCCCCAGGAAAACTAACCTTTAACCACCCAATATAGTAACTCCGCTGAGACCGTCTTCAAAGAGTCATGGGTGCTAGAATTTCAAGCGAATCTGTGCACGTTTCTAGAGAAGAACATGGATTGGCTGGGTATCGCCAATGATCGTACACCAGCCGCGGAGCGGAAAATGCTCGATTATGCCTGTGGAAACGGGTTTTTGACAAAAGTAAGGTTTTTTTTTATTTGACTTAAAACCTTCGGCCTGGTACAACGCGCATTATTTTCCTATATATGTACATGTACATTAAATACACACACATGTACAGTACATATACGTACATGTGATGCCACGCTTTCCCAGCTTCAAGAAACTGCAGCAAAGCTTACCATTCCCAAGGTCTACCATCCCTTCTTCACTAAATGCGTCGGCATCGACCTAGCTGCCGGCATGGTTAAGCAGTACAACGACGCCGCTGCCGAGCTAGGTCTCTCGCCGGAGAAAATGTACGCAGTGAAGGGGGACTTATCATCACCCGTGTCGGCGCAAGAACCGCCCAAGCGAGAAGATGCCACCGCAACAGACTTATCCCGTGACGAGTTTTTCAACTTCGATTTCGCCGGGGTAGCCCTGGCGCTGCACCATATGCAGAATCCGAAGGCGGCCATCGTGAAGATGGCTGACAGACTGAAGAGCGGCGGTGTGATTTTGGCTATTGATTTGTTGCAATCTGAGGCGAAAGATGGGGAGGGGAAGGGCAGTAATCACCATCACCATGATGATCATCACCATAATCATCATAGCGGTCACTCTCACGGCCACGGTCATGGCCATGGTCATACGGATGCAGCCAACGCTCCACATGCCCGCGGCCCTGCAGGGCACACCATTTCTCACGAGCACCCTACCTTCTCACTCGAGTTGATTAAGGCCATGTTTACCCGTGCCGGGCTGGTTGATGTAGATGTTATCCTTTCTGACTGGAAGTTGCAGTTACCATTTGTGACGGATCCCAACCAGAAGCTGTTTTTTGCGAGGGGGAGGAAGCCGTGAACTAAAAAAATTCTGGGAATGGACTTGAGGCCGAGTTAGTGAAGATATATGAAGTTTTAGAAACTTAGAATCAAGTGCAACGAAATTTTACTGTGATGGATCATTTTTCGATCGATTCCAGGTTGGGGCCACAATGAAGCTAGGTGTGCGTGTAAAATGAATCCTAGTGTATGTAGAGAGCAGAAACACATCAGATATTTCAAAGCATGGTAGAAGGTAAAGAATCATAGGGAATGCAGCTTCCCATCACTTGTAGCCTCTCACGTGTACTCAATAAATATAGACAAATGAATATATTCACAAAATAATATCTATATGTTAGAAACTGAGACAACATCAAAGTACATGTACTGTACAAGACGGCAAATTTAGGAACTGCGCTTAAAAGATCAACACATAAGAAAAATACATGAGAATCCATATGAAACACGAAATAAAAAGAAGTAATTGAACAAATAAACCTTATAAGTGTTCAGTGGACATAGAAGTATCATATCGTATTATGTCCATGACATTCATAATTCGGGGAAAGAAAATCATTCAAGGAAACTAAGACTGAGGAAAATTTTCAGATAATAATGGAACAGGAAAGATGAGCATAGGGATAATTCTATGGTATAAAAAAACTCTTTGAGGACTGGAAGTGGATCCTCCATCAAAACGATGTACAAAGGGCTACTCAAGCATATGCCCCATTTTCCCGATCTGAACATGGGAGAATAATCGTTAGCTGTGAAAGAACAAGGAAAGAAAACTATAAGGAGGAGAGGAAAGGGGACATGATATCACTCACTTTGGTTCTTAGATAGTCCTCAATCTCCGTACTCCGGATCCCCTTCTGCCCACCTGACCGCCATGCTAGCGGGATCATGGGTACTCTCTCCTTCACGATCACCTCACGATTGGGGCCTTCGACAGCCATGACTTTATCTGGGTTATTCGTTAACAGCCGGATCCCGCTATTGTTCGCCGAGTCAACTCCCAGCCCCAGATCCACAAGCATGGCAGTCGCCAAACCATAGCTGCGAGCATCCGCAGGATGCCGAAGTATAAGATTGGCCTCGACCGTATCGTTCCCTAGATCTTGCAAGTTGTACGCCTTCAGTTTCTCGCTCAGACCAATGCCACGGCCCTCTTGGCGTAGGTATATAATAACGCCGCCAGGGCTTTGCTCTTGTGATGCAGTCGTTTCCGACATTAATCTTGCTGCTTCGTCTAATTGTTCTCCACAATCGCACCGCGCCGACCAGGCAGTTTCGCCCGTGTAACATTCTGAATGTATCCTGACGAGAGGAGCTTGTGCCGGTACCTGCTCCCTTTGCCCTGCCATTTCATTCCTCTGCACCACACCACTCACCACCTCCTTCGCGGAATCCGCACCACCCGCTGAAGGCTCCCTCTGCACGTTTATCCCAACGCCCATTCCTTCATCAAACCGGCTATCCTGTCTCCCAGGATACAACCTCCCCATATACGCCCCGCGAATCATGCGATCCATCTCCGTTTCCCCGGGTCGCACCCTATCCAAACTCCGGCTCCGAATTGAGTTCCCAAACACAATAGCCAAATGCTCCTTATTATCCGCATCATTGTGATAGAGATGCAGGAACATTTCCGCACCCGTCGTCGTCGGGATGCGGGCACGAACAATACATTCGACCTTGGGTAGCCGTGGAAGCAATTTGGGCGGTTTGGCATTGATCAAGCGATCTCTGCACTCCGTCGTCGATGACGCCGGTTTAACCGGTAGGTGTGCATTTTCGAGGCTGTGAGGGGTAGACGGAGGGGTGAAGGAGGGAGAGATAATGGAGTGTGAGAGAGCGGGGGTTGGCGCTTGGCTGCCCGCTTCTAGGTAGTCGTGCGTGTGGTGGCTACTGCCGCCAGGGGACTGAGTGCGAGTCTGCGAAGAGGGAGACGATGTAGGGGCATTACTCAAACCTCCGGTAAGTGAGTATTCGGTGATCGCTGGGTGTTTTGGATGGAGGGGTCGGGGTGAGAGGTATGCGGAAGCGTGAGAGGGAAAATCAGGCATTTTGGAAGTTACATTCAATAAAAATGTCGGCAGTGCAGGGTAACTTTTGTATTACCATGCCAAATAAAACAACGGCTATAATATTCAGAGGATTTATGGCGATACCATGAGATAGGAGCGAACACAAATATTTTGAGCCGTCATATACTTTCTGATTTCTATTTGTAAGTCATGACTGAGCCTCGGTCCGGCTGAGTCAGCGGTAAGGCCGGCGATGTCGCTTCCTTCGGCAATCGCGCCACGCCGAGCTGGAGGAACGTCACGATCTGACATTATGGGATAAACAACACTGTGATTGCTGCCAAAACAATTTCTAGGCGATAATCAAGCCAATCGTAATATAGCTTGCTGAGAGTGGAATTGTGCAGTTTCGATATTATTAACTATTACTACTTTTCGACACATCCATTCCTATCATGTAGTTGCTAAAACCGCTAATTAAATATCCCAATATTAATAATATCCAAGGGCCACAACAAAATGCTGGTCCAATCCCAGTATCCAACACCTGTCCAGAACACCAAGCTCAAAATGAGATCGTAGCAGAGCAAAATCCAAAAACCCTGTAGACGATAAAAAGTTGGAAATGTAAGAAAGAACCAAATAACCGCCACCGCCCAAGGTAAACCGTACGTACGCGTCCACGTACTACAAATATACATATCAGATAGAGTACCAATTACCGAGCGGCCGTTTTCGTATCGGAGTAATAAGACCAACCCAATTATTTCCCCGGGATGTCGAGCACAAAACGGCGGTCGACATCCATCTCCTTGTCATCTTCCTCCCCCTCAAACTTCAACCGATACACGTCCTTCTTGGAACCCATAACCTCCGCACGGTAAAACGTAGTGGTATCGGGATATCTAGCGAGGACTTGTTTTCCAACAGAAAATAATGGCAGGGAAGCGCCGACTTGGGGAATGGGAATTAATGAAGCTGCAGTGGTTTTGTAGACTGCGCCCTCCTCGCCATTTTCACTGGGCTCGGGATCTTGGACATCGTAACTGGGATGGTTGTCAATGCTAAAAGAAAATTCAGTTGTGCTGGGGACCTTCTACGTGGACTTACCGCTTCTTATGACCCTCCCCCGCTATGCTCTTGATGATGCACTGTATACCTTCTCCCTCCACCCCCTGTTGTTTCTTATTGTGTTTGAAAACAACTTCTGCTCCAACAAACAGATGCCCACTTTTCTCTGCCGCGGTACCTTTCGTGCCTTCACCTCCATCCTCACTCTTGACAGAAACTGCTTCACGGGCTTGGCTGCTTGACACGCTTGCGCTTCTATGGGTACTGTTTTTGAGCCGATTTAATTTATCGGCTATCCCCGTAGTGGGAGAATCGGAAGCTGGGGTTTCAGCTTCTGTCTTCCGTTTCCGTGGCTTGCCAGAGGAACCGGCCCGCGTCTGGGGGTCAGCTTCGGACGCTGAGCGTAGAGCGATTAGTATCTCGAGGTTTTTAATGACGTCTGCTGGCTCATCACGTAAGATAGCGCGTTCCTCTTCACTGTGCTTGTTGATTATACGCTCGTAGTTTTCCATCTGCTCAAGCTCCGCTGGTGTTGCCTCTGAAAACCGCGTCATTAGCAAATATTAAAACTCGTTCCGGAGTGGGTTCCGCCCATGCAGTCTGAAACTAGCTACTGGATTGATGATGCAGGGAGAACAAAGTAGACAACTGTACTAAAAAGGGAACACAGCTAAAGGACCGAACGGTAAATCAATAGTTCTGACAGCCTGGGAACAGGGTACAAGCCGAACCACAGGCGCAACTCAAACAGTCGAATCCTAAAACTTGGAGCAAGGACACACGGTGGAGAGAATAAGGCTAGCAAGAAGGGCTTCTCGTGATCCAAATGGAGATGGATGGGGAAACTTCCTTAAAGGGTGTACGTCTAGGAGTCCAGGATGGCTTCGTTCATACATATGATGGCTGAGTGATAAAATAATATCGTTCCTTGGTTTGATCCAAGGTGCCATCTGTTTTCGAGGAACTGAGAGATAACACAGAAGATATATATGTGATAGTGTAGAGAAGCATATTCAAGGGATTCGGGGAAGAAATTGTAACCAAAGACCCATTCTGATTCTGGGCAAAGAGTAAATCCATTTGGTATAAAGATGGCTGAGTAACAATAGCAAGAATCCTAACCCAGACATGCCGATACAGAAATAATAAAATAAAATAAAATAAGAAGGGTAAGTTATGCACTCACTTCGGCCAGCTTTTGCGATTTTATCCCTGAGCGCGGCGAGTTGGAACCCTGGGATCCTTTGTTTCTCGTTTTTCTCCGCGGCCTTGTGTATGTCTTGACGGATTCGATTCCACATTTCGATTTCCTCATTGGCAGCCGCGCCGTTGTCCCTGGTGGGAGGGCCTCTTGGTCTGTTTCGGGACATGCTGCGCTCTTCACGTTCGGACTTCAACTGAAGGGCTTTCCCCCTTTTCTCCTTGCGCTTTTGAGCTTCGGCCTTCTTTGCTGCGGCCTGTTCTTCTTTAGCCTTTCTTACTTTGGCAATATCAACAGCTTCCCACTCCGAACCAGATAATACTTGGAATTCGAAACTGCCCTCGGTTTGCCTGCGTGTGCGTACTACCGACTGAAGGTGTGTCGCGGTATATCGCGCAGAGGCAGACAAAGATGAGTTTGAGCTTATGTCAATGCCAGAGCTGCAAGGTTCTTGGCTGAGCTGGCCGTTCTTGCGATCTGGAACTCCACAGTCCGGGGTATGTATCCGAAGTGATTCCGCCGGCAAAATTAACGTTGCTGGAGTCGCTGGGGTAGCTGATATCGGCTGGTGGAGTGGCGCGGCAGGCTGATCGTCTCCTACCGCCAACGAGACATAGGGAACCGTGGAACTGATGGCTTGGAGTGAACAGCGGTTGGGTGCAGGCATGTCATCAGCCTTATTCGGCGGCTGGTAGCTTTGATTGGACATCGTCGGAAAAGTTTGTCCCAAGGTTAGGGCTTGCCGCGGTCACGGGACGCTGGGGTAGCGCCAGTTAGGTAAGCTGGGGACGGGATCACGGGATCACTGGTATGGTGTACTAGTGGACGCAACGGGTGGAGTCAAACCACGTCACTGGATTCTGAGCTGGAGTTGGAATGAAGAGCAACATTGTTTGTTGAAGACACTCAGAATAAATAGAAGAACGACGGCACCCTGTCCTACTCCCGCTTGCACTTTATAATCTATTGAATCGCAGTCGACCTCTCTTCACAGCAAGCGCAACTCTGTCACTTTCATTTCTTCAATATGCAGGTGCCCCTCTTCCGGTTGCAGTGCGGTGAGTTTGATATCGACTTTCTGCCCTCAGGTATTGCCAATTACTGACATTATTTGCCATTAACTAGGTGTTAATAGTTATGATTGGGGTACTTATGAGCTCTTTGTCTTCACCACTCTGTATTCAATTCTGCCGCTTACGTTGCTAATATCCATTTAGGGAAGATTGGCCAGGAATCTGCTGCGGCAAGATATGCTGCGGCGACTCCCGCAAGCGATCTTTCTATTCAGAATGAAAGGCCATATGCAGAGGTACTGTGGTTCTGATCTGGTCTCTTAGTACTTGAGTTGTCAGACCAACTGATAGTTTTACCTCCCTAGCTCTGGATGGGCACTCATCCTTCGCTACCTTCCAAAGAATTTGAAACCCAAAGGACCTTGCTGGACCTGGTGCAGGACAACCAGGAGTTGATGTCACAAGAAGTCAGTAGGCGATATGGAGGGCAATTACCTTTCCTCTTCAAGGTTCTTTCTATCCGGAAAGCTCTCTCAATCCAAGCACACCCAAACAAAAAGCTGGCAGCGGTGCTTCACGAAAAAGATCCGAGAAACTACCCTGGTTAGTAACTCATATGAATAACATAAAACCAGTAATATTGATTAATAGTCTTTATCAGATGATAATCATAAGCCGGAGATGACGATTGCCATCACCCCCTTTGAGGGCCTCTGTGGCTTCCGTCCCTTGACTGAAATTGTTCATTTCCTTCGTGTTTTAGAACCCCTCAGAGAGCTCGTCGGGTCGGAGGCTGCTGAGGCATTCGAAAATGCAGTGCGTGGACAAGAACTATCTGTAGATCCCAGTGCCACAGAAAGGAACAGAGCTGCTCTTAAGACCGTTTTCACAAAGTTAATGACATCTACACCAGGTGCCATCTCCGCTGCTGCAGAGAAACTTATTTCGGCCGCCAAAGCCTCTCCAGCCACATTCGCCACGTCAGAGTCCACACCCTCAACCAATCCTTCGAACCCAGATGAACTGGCAGTCGTAGTAACCCGCTTAAATGAACAGTTCCCCAACGACATTGGACTGTTCGTCTTTTTCTTCCTCAATTTCGTCAAATTATCTCCAGGCGAAGCGATGTTTCTCAAGGCAGACGATATCCATGCATACATTTCAGGAGACATCATGGAGTGCATGGCTTCATCTGACAACGTCGTTCGAGCTGGATTTACACCCAAGTTTAAAGATGTCTCCACCCTAACCGACATGCTCACCTACAACTACGCACCCATTGAGGAGCAGAAGATGGAACCCACCGAATACCCCTATATGACCATGAATACAATTGCATACTCAAGCAATTCGACATCGTTACTATATAACCCGCCCATCGAAGAGTTCGCCGTTGTTAAGACAGACCTGAAACGCCGCGGTGCTAAGGCGACCTTCGAAACTATCAATGGACCCAGCGTCCTCATCTGCACTAGTGGCCAAGGAAAGATAAGCGTAGGGTCAGCCAAGATAGAGGAAGTCAAGGAGGGTTACGTCTTTTTCGTTGGGGCGAATGCTGAGTGTGTGATCGAGAGCACGGTAGCAGAGGGAGACGAGGTGCCCTTCACTACTTTCAAGGCTTTTTGCGAACTCGACCGTTCTGAAGATATTGTCAATGGGAGGTGAAACGCATAGTTTCTTTGTCCACAGGATCTTCCATTTTGTTCTTTTTTCCTTCATATTTATTGTATCTCCGCAACGTCTTTATCCAATATCCCCCCCTGTTGTATCCTGAGCTATATGAAAACCACCTATATTCTGCTAGCTAATACAAGCTAAAAATGAGACTAAACATAAATCATCATGTTATATCCTGACTCGCTTCTAGGATTGTTTGAAGGGCACGCTTATATTTTTGCTGCTTGCTTGCTATCCGTGCAAAGGGCCAAGTCAGGATGACGTAATTTAGCCTGGCTCTCACTAACCGGGACTAGATCCATCTAATAACTAGTTAACCTAACCCAATCTCAACCTTAAAAAACATCCACCGCGGCTCTGCGGAGTAGCTCGAATTCACAGCCGAGGGACCAGCTCTGCGGAGGCTGCTGTTGCTGCTGCTACAATATAATAATGGCGGCCCGTTCACCAAACTGCGGGGGTTCATGGGCTTGGCTTGACACTCCAGATATTGTTTACCCGAGAATATAAGATCCTGACGATATGGATGATAGAAAGCGGGGACGGACACCAGCAATTGGCCCTTAATTCCTTCATATTTCGTTCTTCTCTCCTCCTAGGTTGCGATCCTGCGTGCTCTGGCCGGAGCTTGTTTTAGCTAGAACCGATAGCTTGAGAGCTTGAAATCCGACTTGCTTTGTTTCTTCTTCTATCTCTTGCCATTTGTGAGACTCGTGCCACAGAGTGCAGGACATTTACGGACCGACGAGAACCCTCGAGGGATAGCGACGGCAGACAGTTTATCGATATTCGACTGAGAGAGCTGTCTCCTTCAATATTGACTTAAGTTTTATTTAACAATCCGTTCATCTTTGCCTCTCAGATTATCATGGGTCCCGGTACTTATCCCCCCAAGCTCACTGTCGTTGAGAAGCTGGATTTGGTTTCAGCGAGCCTCTCGTTGGTTGCAAGCGCCCTCTATGCGGCCATTACTGGCATATTCCGCGGGCAGCACGGGCATAAGTATTACAAGAAGCATGTCAGTCATGCAGTGATAAAGACAGCTCTCAATCGAGTATCGACGCGGCAGCACCAGTAAGTGAATTCAAGCCTTTCCATGAGCATGAAACGCATTGACCCGTTCCCCTACAATAATGCTCTTCACATATTTCTCAATTGACAAACCACTGTTCTTTTTTTTTTTTTAGGGCGCTCAACCCTTCTACTAATCAAGTATACGAACTCTTCGCGACAAAGAGCGGGTTCACGCCGCAAACCGTGCCACTTGATCATGGCGCCCAGGGTCATTGGATCGGCAATAAAGATGCGAAGAATGTGTTGATTTACTATCATGGTATGATTACCGAGATACACGTCAAAGAGAACCCTTGTCTTGTCCTTAATTTTAGACGAAGGATATTAACCAATTCTCCTTGAATTTATAGGCGGTGGTTTTGCAGCCGCCGCTGGCCCTGCGTTTTTCCAGCTCCAGAACGACATCCTGGACCAGCTCAAAGCTGCGGGCAAAGACATTGCCATCTTCTTCATTACATACACCCTCACTCCCCACGCCGTCTACCCGACCCAACTTACGCAGGCTGTCGGGGCGCTCCGCTACATAATTGACAGAACCGGCCGTAGCCCTTCAAACGTCTTCATCGCAGGCGACTCAGCCGGCGGCAACCTCACGCTGGGCGTTCTCTCCCACCTTTCCCATCCGCACACGGCAATTGAGCCACTGGAGCTTTCTGGGCCGCTAGCCGGCGCCTTGCCTATTTCGCCGTGGGTCTCCTTCTCGCTGGACTATCCATCCGTCGAGGAGAACAAGAATAAAGACATACTTTCGGCTTCGATCCTGAAGAGATGGTCATCGTTTTACGTTGCAGATTCGGAAGCGGATAATTACATGGAGCCGCTCCGGGCACCAGCAGATTGGTGGAAGGATCTTAAGGTTAGAGATGTGTTGTTTCTAACTGGTTCGGATGAATTATTCCGTTCACCCATCGAGGAGTTTGTTGGGAAGTTCAAGGTCAGTCCTCCTTCCTTTCCGGTTTTTATCTGAAATGCAATTGCGTCTTTTTTTTTTTTTTTTTTTTGAGTCCATTGTTCTTGATATCTCCACTGCTGCAGCGTTTGTCAGTTAACATTGTACGCGCCCTGATCCCAAATTCCAGACCGCTTTTCCGAACACGACTTTCGTTGTGGGCAAGGATGAATGCCACGACGCGCCCATCGTAAATTTAATGATCGGTGATCGATCCGGAACAGAACAAGGGAAAGCATACGCTTCGTTTTTGACCTCGAAACTTTGATGGCCATAGGTTGCTGAATGGGTGGTAGGAGCGCGGTCAATTAAGCGGATAGCATGACAGAGTAATAAAGTTGCACAATGGCAACAGGCAGATAAATAGGATATGAGCTGTACATCCACATACCTAATAATTTTAATACTGCCGGTATTAATCGATGTGTTCTCCGGGGCTTTTAGTAATAATCTAGCGTATTTCCTTTTGCATTGCCCTTAAAATACAAACTCAGCAAATCTCCCGCAGCAGAAGCAATGATTCAAATCGTCAAGACATTAGAAACGCAAATTTTCGTCTGCTTTTGTTTGGTTCAAGCTTAAATTGTTCGTCTATGGTTTAAACAGCATGGACCCGGCTAACGGCTAACAACAGAAATGGAAATGGAAACAGAACTATAAACCTGAAAAAGAAGAGCGAGAGCATGTAGAGGCGGATTACCTACAAGAATGATGCTAAAATAGACGAACGTAAAGGGAATAACATAACGAAAAGACGGTTAGGCTATGAAGAAACCTTTGCTGAGTATTTTGATGCTGCAGCATCAAAAAGCGCAGATTTTTCAGCTAGGTCAGTGAGGAATGGGTGGTCTGGTTGTGCCTTTTCAAGGGATCTGGAAGGAGATGGTGTGGTTAGCTTAGTTGATACATTTTTGCAAGGTGCAGCTCGTTTTCCAAGCAGTGAAATACACTAAAAGGGGTTACTCACGAAGTAAGCTCTGTCGTATCTTTCCCGCTCAAAACTCTCAGCACAATCGAATTTGCAATCAACTGAACATCGTTAGGGTATTTCTCTAGTGCTGATTGGAGAGCGACTTCAGCCTCCGGTAGACGACCTAAGTGTAGTTCGGAAACGGCTTGGCCAACGATTGAAAGGGGCGATGATGTATTGGGGACGGAGGCAAGTTCTTCGTATACGTAGAATGCGGATTGGTATTTTTCACCCCCCTATATTTTGCCCGTGATAGTTAGAAGCAAATATCGATGCCGTTGCGGGGAATTTGAAGCATACCACTCTCAATCCCACCCAGGACTCAGCCAAATTGACGAGTAATGAATCTTGAGCCCACCGTCGAGCGGCCTGGACTTCCTTCAGGGCGAGGTCGGTGCGGTTTTGTTGGAGGTGGATTTGGACAATTAAGGCGACGCTGCGAGAGTAGGATACGAGATATTAGAGTGATATTCCAAAAATATAAAATGGGAAACATCCATTTCGGCAACAACAACAACGAGATAATGTCTCTAGTCACAAGATAGAAACAGAGATCTACTCACGCTTCAAGGTTCCCCTGGTGCTTCGACAATAGCGACAAGGCGTCCTCGCTCTTCCCTTGGGCCTGCAGCACCGTTCCTACAAGGACCTGAGCAGTCGCATTGTCCGAGTGGTTCGCTATTAGTTCCTCCACTCCCTTTAGTGCTTCAGCTTCATCCCCCGCTGCTTGTTGGGCCAGCACCTTCACAGCAACTAGATCAGGCACATCTTCGCCCTCGACATCTGCAATGACGTCTTCAGTTTGTCCCAGGGCAATTCGGGCGCGCAGTTTGAGAACACGAGTAATGAGTTTGTTTTCAGGAGAGAAGGAGGAGGTATCGAAATCGACTACTACTTGATATTGGCCCTGGTGGAAGGCATTGTGGATGTTTAGGAGCTCTGAATGGTTTACGTGTCAGCTGTGAACGACCAATGGAAATGGATTTCACGAAATAGATAGCTTACCGCCTTCAGCTGAAAATGGATCCATTGCGTTTAATTAATACAAAATCTGCTGGTGTACTTGTGCGCACGGGATAAACTGTCTTAATCTGACCGTACTGTCGGTCTTGTCGCTGTGAACACATTGGATGGTTTGATAACGCTCCGATGACCAAATTCGGGAAGGTGACGCGAGGCCAAACGTAAAATATTTAGGCAAGAACTGCCGAGTTATCCCAGCAGCCATCACAACCTCATCGCATGAGCCTCAATCGAGATTCTTGCTTCAATCTACAGGCAAGCAGGAAAGAACAACAGCATAGAACAATAGACTGCAATTGTCGACCCATTTATTGCGATTTATTATACTATGTAGGCCCCTTTACACTCCCAACGTCAGTCAACAACCAAAAAACGAACGCCATAAACCTCGAAATTTCCGATTTTTCCAATCTTTCAAATATTCAGAACACCCAAACACCAAACTTGTGCGAATTCACCTCAGATTTAAAGAATTATAAGAACAACACTTTCCAAAGCACAGCTTTATCAAGCATGCCAAGGCAATTTTTCCGTACACATGTTTTTTGATGCGTAGTGCACACTCAATCAAAGTGTCATCTTCCTCTAAAAACATGACTCTCCACCTTAAGGATTGAAGACTCGAGTGGAACTGGCTGGCTGGCTGCTCCAGAGAGAATGTTAACTAATGTCGCAGAACCACGGCCGGTGGTATCAGTTGATCTGACCACAAATTTCTTTCGCCAATCTTCCAGCTCTCATTCTAGATGGGTACCGTTTGGTTTCGACTATGCTTCGTCCTTGGCGTCGGTGAAATCAGATGCTTTTTCGTGATTATATGATCACTAAAGGCTCATATGCGAAACACTTCGGTGCGGCCTTTTTCCCTTGAATCAAGAGGATAGTCTCTTCTCGAATCCTGGGTATCTCTATATGCGGAACATTCAATGTTAGTATGTTAAACAACCTAGCCAGCGCAGTAAATCCGGGGCTTACAGACACCGTGTCTCTCATTCCTTCGCCGACGAGGCTTTCGGGATATCTTCTACTTTCACAGCATCCGCACAAACTCCGAATTGAGCCCGGTTCTCGAGCGGCTGGTTTAAAAGAGAGTCTGCCAGCTCCTGAGTTATTGTCCTGCCGCATATTATAAATTCCTGCGTGATCGTTATTGAGAACATGGGTATGACGATATGAACTGGCCCTTCTAGGGTAATTTCTCACGGAGGGGTTATGGAAGAAGGCTGGGACAGCCTTTGCCATATTGACTAGGTACTCCAAGGTACTGTCCACTTCATGCACAATAGGCGGGAAGCCCCTGCGTTCAATATCGTTTGCCATGGCTTCCAGTACAGCATCTAAAGGTGGCAGAAACCTCACCTTAGCGCAGTTTTTGCCTCTACAGAACAGAGGACCCGGTAGTGGCATTTTTTCCCTAACACTGGTGGCTCCCATCGTTCCAACAGAGTGTGGGAGGCGTCTTAACATATCGTTCAAATGTTGGATAATCCCGTTCGCCTGATACTCAAAGCTTGGGTAACCGCAATTCTTAACGTCCGTGTCGATCTGGTTGAGTACGTCGGCAAGCGGAGGCAAATGGCGTTCCGCATCGATAACAGATCTGGGATTGAATAGGACAAGATCTCGTCTGCTAAAATCGGGAGCAAAAGACGTTGCCGGCCCCTGGCTGCTTCGCCTGATTTCCGGTTCCGTAGTGGAGAGAATCCGACGACCCTGCATTGATATACAAGGAGCGTCGGGACTTTGGATCATGTTCCGGCCAGAGAATGAATAATCTCCATTACGGTGCGCGGAGTTCGCCAGTAAAGGAAGCGGGCTAGAATTTGAGGCTTTATCGTCCTTGTCCTCATTCCCTTCCGCGCTGTTCTGGCCCCCCCTCTCAATTCTTGATCCCATTTTTTCTTGCTATCTCCGGTATTAAGATTTGGAATTGCGGCAAACTGTTCCAGCGGTCGATTCAACACGTTCTGCTAGACTTTGAGGGCTAGTTGCCTTTAAAAATATGAGGGAATATCGATGCTGGCTAAATACGCAGAAGTAGATAATGTGGTACAGGATTGTTGAATACCAGGGAGAATGATCCTAAAATACGAGGAAAAAAAGGAAGTACACAAGGTGATGATGGGAATGGCGACTTCTTTTCTCCGCGTTTGTTTTCCAAAGCGCGTTTATTCCCTTGCTAACCTGGCTCCAGTGATCCTGCTTAACTTTGGTGCTTAAACTCTGAGTTCTCCAGTTCTATTCTCCCTTCCTAAACGGGAAATGCAGTTGCGAAATGACGACATATATATTCTCCATACATTTCTTTTTTGTTCTCAAGCCGGCCCGAGCGTCCTCAAATCTGGAAGGCACGACTCCTCTGTCGAGCGGCATACGAATCTGGAAAGGGACGGTCTTCTAGCTAACCTTCCCTAGCAGGCATTCCAGATATAACTACTGTTGCTTCCGTATGCCGCAGCCCCCAAGCCCAAGCTCATCGCGTGCGGGACACCTTCTCCCGTCTCGAGGCAAGAAAACTATGACGGCTACAAGTGCGCTTCCCCACACAAGCTTTCAGATTCAAGGCGCCGTTTCTTTCCAGTCCAAGTACCCCGAAGCAGGTACCGCTAAGGTCGTTGTTTCTGCTACAGAACTTCTGTTTTGATTTGAAGGTCTACGCAGATATCGTTTGTTTAGATCAAATTATGATGAGAGATGCTGGCACGGCTGCTCTGGCGGGCCATTAGTCGAGTTATTCGTTTTATCGCTGCCCATCTACTCAAACGAATATCGCACTGTGTACATGTAATGTACGTGCATATCGCAGAGAAGGAACGACCGGCAATGAGGATCGTCGATTGTTGGCAATTTTATTGGACCGTTTGAGCTACAACATATAATTTTACACTTTCCCTAGAGATACAGCAGTTCTTGGGCTTTTACTTCATATCTTACACGCCTCAACTGTCGCAACGTGAGTTTGGTGCTCCCATCAAGGCCACTAGGTACGATGAATGATATCATTTCATGTATATGGGTCTTTATCTGGCTTGGGCCGCTCGAATATAATTCGTGCCATAGTAAGCGATCTATGCAGTATTTGCGGTAGAGATGCCGAATAATTCTTGGGGGATTGGACGAACCAGGGTTGATCATTTAGTCAATATATATTTTCATATCTATGTATCGATATAAAAGCACCATTCGTTTCCATGTGCCAATAAACTGAAATATTTCTTTTCGTCGCCTCAACCACCAGGAGATGCATGTAGAGCACATGCCCCTTTTGGTTCATATTTGGGATACTTCTTTCAAAAATAGGGATCTCCAAGACAACTAAGGGATAGAGCTCACTCTTATATTCACAAGGAAAAGTATATGTGAAAACCCCGGCATGGAACTACCTGAATAAGAATTTAGTTTTTTTTCTCTTACAGGAAATTTGATAGGGCTCACGAAGTCTAAATAACCTTCGGAAAAAGTACTCGTCAAACGCAACAACATGTTAGACTTTATAGACAGGAATATAACAAAGTTATATAAAAATAGTTATATAAAAATACTCACCACGGAGTATATATCCTTGAGATATAGAGGATGCTTCTTTTAATAATTAGAATACCTACGTCTATTGTTGTGTTGAGATCAGTATGAAACCAAAAATTTCGTTGTTGACAATCGACAGGGCAGCGGCGCCAACGATTAATTTGGCAGCTCATGCAATCAATAAATGTTGAGTATTCTGTCTCTATACACTTGTTGAGAGACTGTTCTCGCTCCTAGATACATTACATGCCAAATAACTGCGAACTACATGTAGCGCAGATTATTGTAGATGTCGTCTAACCGCGCTACTCCAGCTCATGAATTAGCTACGGTATGATTGATTGTAGGCCAAGTATAGATACATATTTCACTGGAAAAGAGCTAAAGTCAAAAAATCAGCTATTAATGTATTTTCAATCCACTACTTCTTCATCTTAATATTTCTTCCAAGTCATATATTTTAAAGCTCTGAGCGGCTTGGGCCACCCACCTGCGGCATTCTCAGTGGATGAAACTTATCAGACTGATATCTTGCCCTTGAGATCCCAAAGGATATGATAGCAGACCCCAATATGCTTCAATCAGCGCGGGATTGCTTTGCTAGAGGATATTTCTATGATGGACTTACTATCAGCATGAATTGTATGAACCAGATCATCGACAGCGGGTGTGGGTGTGGGTTGTAATAGGGCAATCTTCAGCATCCAAATTATTTCAGTGGGAGAGGACAAATCCGGCATCACCTAGCAGCTCCCGGAGGTGGACAAGCTCGTAGGCGGCTTCGGAAGATGAGATATATTCAGCTTCGGTAGACAATTTTATCTGCTTGCAGCTACGCCACGCCACGGGGCCGCCTACCATATAACTATATGATCTAGTCAGTAGTCGATCGGGAACCCCAGGGGTCGTCGATGCCCATGTTACGATTCACAAGGCCGCGTTCGATGACTCCTAATATAGTAGCAACATCGGGGCACGAGACGGATCTGGTACTGACGGAGTGATTTATGTTAGCCTGAGTATTGTCACTGTTTTCCAGGTTATCACATACATAGAACAAAACTCATCGAAGGTTGGCTCTAGCATCATCGCCTAGATCGCTTCCTAAGGCTGGCACTTGTATGTACATGTACATCAGCTTTGTCAGTGTCAGATACCTTATTTTCTGACGTCTGATGATACTGGTCTTTTTGCCAGCGGTGCTTACAGCTGGAGCTGTGGACGCACTGGCCTCTCCCATAGTAGTTACACTATAATCTGTTGGTGCTAATGAGTTGTCTTATTGTATGTTCCCTAGCTATGAAGCTACACGGTGGAGGATTATGAAACCAGACGGATTGGTCTGACATGTAGATAATCACCGGGTGTTTCGATCCTTCGAGCAAACGACGGACTTATATCAGGATAGCGAAGCAGGGAGATGTCCACTGACACAATATCATCTAGAAGTAACCTCCATTCAGAGTACCCTAGCAAATTTCGTTACTAGTGAGACTTCCGCTGGCAGAGTTCAGAGGTTCTGGAGCGGAAATATGTAAAACTAAGTAACCTAACAGCTTTTGTTGTTCTTTCAATCAATGGGATTGAAACAGTCCATCTCACAGAGGCAAGTCTGTGATTAAACTTGAATGATATAGAACTCATCATTTGCACCACCCTGTCAAGAAAGAGTTCACTTAAGTAATTTCGTACTTCTAGTCAACACTCTACCCTAGTGTTTCAAAATGAAGAAAGCAGAAATTGTGTTCTTGAGTCCTTATAACATAAAGAAATTGATGAAGGACTGAATGACGGCGAATATCATTACTTCTATCCTTCATCCTTGAGTGAGAGTATGGTCTTTCCCCTGGATTCGTCATTGCTGTCATCTTGCAGGTGGAGTTAAATGTTGCCTGCAGTTCATGATAGCTTGCATGGTTTTTCTTCACCTCTTTGAAGACACACTTGCATGTAGGCAATTGTTGCAGAAATTCATTGATTGTGCAAGTGAATTCTTCTTCGTCTTGCATGATAGTGTATCTTGTTGCTGACTTTGTCCAGGTTGATGCCCATCAGGACGAGGTCGTCTACTCGAGGACCGCGGGCTCTGCATCATTTGATTATTCGAGGTCGAGCCGCCAAAAATCAGCTCACAGGGGGGGGGACTGAATTGCCTGCAGCGCCGGATAAATTTTACGAGTAGAGGTAGTTAAAGGGCAGGAGGAAGGGGTTGAATGTTGATGCATAGAATGGTTTGGCCCCTTAACTACCAGTTAGCATGGCAGTGACAGAACTCTTTCCCCCAGCCCTTGCATTGAAAATGTTTTGAGAGCAAGCGGTAACTTACACCCTTGTTGTTCCGTGATTTGAGGGTCTAGGGTTGCAACCAGGTTATAAAAGCTTGGTAATGAATATAATGCTGACGTAGTTAGTGTAACTAAGTTACTGACTGGGCTCCACCCGAGCTTCCCCCATGCCAGCTAACTAGTCAATGAGCCGAGCGTAGGAGCCCTCATATTACCCCAAGGAGAAGAAGGGTTCAATATGGAAAGAACTCCTAGAGAAACCCGTCACGACGCGATGCATTCGGCTACATATTCCATGATTGCAGCCTTGGGCATTTTTGCCTTGTTTACTTCGTACACGGTTTAACCTATCATTTCAACTGCGAAATGGTGATATCATCCCATCCGCATAATTCCTAGCCCATTTGCCATTGTAAAAGATAGAATTAGCTGAGCATGTTTTGAGCCCTATGCCCTAGCTCCATATCTCGGTGGAGTAAGTTATTAGAGAGTGTCTCAGTGCTCCATGTCAACCTGGAAATCCATATCACGGTCGGTTTTCCCCTATCTGTATTTTCCAACGGCACTTATGAAATAACAGGATCCTTGAACTTGAGCTTGGGTTAAGTGAGACAAAGAAGTGTCTGTTTAAGCTTCCTGTGGCCTGGTATGACTGACACGGAGGCAAGCTCGTCCCTGAAGGTCCTCTTGAAGATAGAGTGGCTCCATAGGTGTGGTTCCCATAACGGCCTTCAACGGGAGAAAGATGTATAAACGGCTTCAGTGACATTACCATCAGGGGATATGAAGCCATTGGCAAATGACCAGAACTTGTTTGGGTATTTCCCAACACTTGGCAGCTTGCAACTGCGCGTCAGCGGCTCCTTGCGTGTAACCACCATTACCACCCTTCCTCTCTGACCGCCGCTTGGGGTTAGTCCTTGAAAGGAGTCAGAGAGCAAGTAAGACAAAAACTAATGGTGTGACAGCTTTTGTATCCATGGCTTTTGAATGTCCTTTTGGTATTCGCGGATCTCAGGTTTCAACAATCATCCACAAGGGCATTGCTATTTTGATTCTGTCGCGCTCTCATTCTATCACAGAGGC